CTGAGCTGCCTCTGTAAAATTATGATTGTCGCTCAGTTAACTGTTGGATAAAGCTGAAATTTTGACAGCAGATTCGCAACGTAAGAGTCTTCATTTTGACCGTTAGGATCGTCAGAGGTATGTGGTTGGAGATATCAGTATTGTATTGTTGCAGGTTTTTAGGTTTCTTCTATTTGTTCTTCAAAATTTTAGAGCACAATTGCTTTGAGATATTGACTGCTTTGTAAGCATTTATTTGTACATTTTGATTTGACTTTCTTGTACTCATACTTTTGATATTTGATATTGGTGGTATTGATGAGATTTTCCCACGCTAAAAATATTAATATACCTTACTGTGATTATTTTTGTCATTATCTGTTGTTGTTACTCCTCATATATTCCTGCAAGTTTAGAGAAATTTCCGCTGCATAATTTGATATTTTAGGTTGATGTGTTGTTTTTCCCTACCACTAATAATTTTTTTAATCAACAATTAAATCAGTAAAAGTCTATGCATAACTACTACCTTTAAAGTTGGTCACATATATGTACTTAATTTTTATTATAATGACAATTTTTAATTTGTTAATATATATAATGGTAAGCTTATTTTTTAGATGGATCATCTCTTCTTAAAAAATATTTATTTACAAAAACTTGAGAATTTTAGGGAGAGGATTTCAAATCTAAAACATTGTTAGAATAATTAATTGATTAAATATTTAGTATATTTTATGAATATAAGAAGGAGTGGGATCATGCACAACTTATATTGATTGTTTGAGCTTATATATGCACATGTAGTTACGGATTAAGACCTTAAATCAGTAAAGATAATTTACTTTTTAAATAATATAAAATTAGGGGAATACTCTTTCTACCAAGTGGTGTATTTATATACTCTTAATTGCACACATGGATCAATAGGTTCAAATATATAAGATTATAGGGACAATAAATTTTTTTCGATTAATAATTTTAATAAAATGAGACTTATTTTTTTTCGGATAGTTAGCAATAATTTTAATAAAATGAGACGTGTACATATAGACTTTAACATATATAAATCTGTGGGTGCAATGATGCATTGAAAACTTGAGATTAAACTTACAAATTCTTTTTTTATTTGTTCTTAATTCCATAGCAATTTTAATTTCCCAATTCATAAAATGAGTGCTTTCAATAATATATTTTACAAATAATCCATTTCAAATTCTTATATTTAGTGGAAGAGTTTAGCAACAATCACTTATGGAGGAGTCTTGAGGCCAGTTTGATTTTCTTTTCACCTTTTGGTTTTCACTTAGATTTTCCGTTAATCAATTATGTAATAAGTTTTTTTCTACTACAAGCTTAAGCCCAAATCTATAATCAGGTTTTATCTTAAAGATAATATTAATGCCTAGTTTGAAACCAGAAAAACAAGCAAAGAAGATTCAGTGATGGAAACAAGCAAGAAAAAAAAAACAAAGAATTTATCTAATTTTCGTATAAATATTAAAAATACCCTTATTTTGGTATTTTTCTTTAATTAAAAATGACTAAATAATTCTATACGTATCTTTTACTTTTTTTTTTATACCATTGTATAAGAGATTTTATTTATTTTTTTCTTTCATTTTTTTAATACCAAATAACTATAAAATTAAATCTTAATTTATTATTTTTATTTTTCTCTATTTATTTTCTTTAATTTAATTTCTTTCTAATACCTTAATCCAAGATAAAGCTACTTGAACAAGACTTCGTCAACTCCACATGAGATCTCAAATTTTATTATAAGCTTGTAATTTGTAAATCATGTTTTACACAAGCTAATTAACCCGAATTTTGTAAAGTTCATCACATGTTAAAGTGACTTTTTTTTAACCCACTTTTAAAATAAAGTAAAAAAAAAAACTAGATTTTTATGTTTAAAGTTAAAGCTGATTAATAATTTTAGAATACTTTAATTGATGTTTCATACTTGAGATATAAACTTTTATATGTGTTTTTTTTCTTATTTACACTTTTGCAACATTACACTTAAAAAAAAAACATTTTTCTTATTATTTGAGCACTGTTCCAAATAGACAATGAGTTGAAAGAATTGTGAGAGCAAAATAAAATAGTTATAATGGATTTTTTTTACATATTTCAGAATTAATTCCAAAGGGAATCATATCTTCAAGATCAAGATCACACTCTCCATATGCATTTGACTAAGTTCAAACTGATGTGTAGTTTAGTTTGAAAAAATAGATTATCTAGAAACCAGCACCAAATCAAATATAGGTAAAAATTTGTCTCCTACAAAGATCTTAGTCGATATTAAACTTGGAATCCAAGTACTTGGAACATCATCAAAAGATGGAAGCCAGCCATCTAACTTCCACCACAACTGATGAGTCTACTTTGACTTGATAGCAGCATCTTCTGATTCTGATTCGCATATCTTCTTCCTCTCTCTCTCGGTGACTCACATAAGCATTAGGATAAGCATTCCAGTGACACTTTAGCTTTGCATGACACATGAAAAAGGATCATCAATGTAATCTCACCAAGGGACAAGATTAGATCAGTTAGTAAACAAGGGAAAGTAAATCCAAATGTATCAAACTTAATCTTTTCTTATTATATGATTGTGTTAGGAAGAAATATCTGTATTTGATTAAACTTATGCTTGCTCTCTTATTTTTGGTATTAATTACGTGTGTCTTCTACAAAAGACAATTCTGATTGAGACGTACCAACAACTGTATAATTCAGAATTTGAATTCAAAGTCATTAGTTAAACCATAACAATCTTACATAAGTTGATCATGGATTATGTTTTTTAATGACTAACAGTTACAAGAGAGAGGATTAAATCCAAAGATACAAGCATGATCTAAGATTCATCCTATAAACAAACTGTCATTAATAGATAAAAATCTTTGATGAAACAGCTGGCCATTTGCCTTGATAATTTGAAGTAAAAAAGAAAGATGTTATTGTTGGAACTTAGCAAAGATAGAATCCAACAAAACCTCCAACCCACCTCAGAGTTGAGGTAACCTTGCCGGGTGCCTGTTCCCGTGGCTGAACACTCCACTCAATGCTTTGTCTGCATTATTATATAACAATGTCCCCTCTTTTCATGCTCACCTTTGCCACTTTCCTAATTAACCCCCCATTGTTTTTGCACCCACAAGCTCTCAGTTACATTGGTAACACAACTACTAAACTATTTTATTGCATCAACAAAAAAATGTTACCAAGACCCACGTTCATTCCCCCTTAACTTCATTGAAATTTAAACCCCTAAAGCCTGCAAATCCCTCAGTTTTCGAGCTTGCCCACGTTCACCTAATCACTTCCCTTTTACTCCACCGAGTCAGCCTTTGCGTAAGGCCTTAGCTTATATATATATATTGTAGCCCCCACGTATAGTTCCTCAGGCTGTGTAGCGAGCCATTTTTTTAGGGGTTTCCCTTTGAGAAAATAGAAGGCTCTTGCTACCATTGCTTTGCATTTTGTTATTATTTTTATTATAATACCATAACAGCATCCATGGTTGAGTTTCAAAACTACAAGTGCAAGCAAGGAACTAAGGTTCCTTCAAAGAGAAAGGGATATAGCAGCAAGTGTGCTTCTCTGGTCAAGGAGCAACGTGCTCGTCTCTATATCCTACGTCGATGTGCCACCATGCTACTTTGTTGGTACATTCAAGGAGATGATTGAGTTCATACTACACTCCTATTTCACCCTCTTCTGGTCTTGTTTAGCTGTATGTAATATATATATGTCCTGAAGTTTACTATTCAAAAATGGTGATGTGATATCGTTGTTTGAAGGATGCTCCTTGCCATGCATGTCGGCCAGTACAGTTGGGTTGGGCTTCACTGTGGATTTGTCATTTTAGTCTCCTTTATTCCTTTTTTTTTTACCCATTTGGACAAGCTCGATGGGTTTTTATGGAGAAAGGAGAGTTTTATGGACAAGCTCGGTGCTGCTTTTTCCAAAATATATGAAGTTGGCAAGGAGTTGATTAACTAAACGTCCTTTAGCTGATGCTAGAATAATTGGAATGTAGTACTTCACATAGAAAGTACTTTACCCTTTTCTACCAAAACCCCTTTCCTTGTATTACAATGTTGCTTTCTTTGACTAATAGTATTATGACTTAATAACTAGCACTTGGTACCTCTGCTAGCTTGAAAAATGCAAAAGGGAAACTCCACTGTTGTATTTTCCAAAAAGACATGATGTAAAATCACACTGTTATTCATAAAGTTTCCTCATCTTGAGAAATATTATGATGGCTATAGTTCATGTGTATACAAGGGATAGAGTTAGGGCTAAGGGCTAGGGGCTAGGGGCAAGCATTTTGTCCAAGACTCTTATATTCCAGGTATTATTTGAGTTGAATATGAATCTACTTAATGGGGGGACGAAGGTTTTTCCATAACCTTGCTTAAAGAACCACATGGAAGTCAACACTAGTGGGGTTTTAAAAAACTCGAGAAACAAAAATGGTGCAATTCTGCATAAACAAAACACACTGAATAGAAAGGTTTTGATTAAGATGATAGCGAGCTTTGTACCATGTGAAAAAATGATTGTGAAGATGATGCCTTGACAACTTATCTGGAGGCATCATGGAATGTTTGACGCGAGGTTGATTTGACAACACAAATGTATTGGATCTAGCTAAGCCTAGATTTCCATTATATTGCCGAGTCTCGCAAAGACAAGCATATCTCTTGATCCATGTTCTTTGTCATGGCAAGTTCGTACATAAGATCTCAGGTGCAACACCCCAACCAAAGTTGATTCTAAAATAAGCAAGTCAAGTGGATTTCATTTTTAATTCGGAAAATGCTACTATACAAACCCTAGTTCTCTTTTTGCTTCAACATTTTCAGAATAGTCCAGATGAGTCCTTCACTCCGAGAGGTTTATGAAGATAACGTCTTTGCCATTAAAATTAGTTATTTAATAAGTGAAGTTGGTAAACGAAATCCTCATGTGTTACAGTGTGTTCAATATAAAAATTACTACTTCTCATAATCATCCTTCCTTCCCAGCACTTCATAATTAATCATCTTTAGTAAACAAAAATTTTGGTGTTTTATTTTTCTACAAATAGGTAAATGTTTCTGATATAAACAAAATTACAAAGCTCAAGTCTAAGAAAATACAACATTAAAAGAAATATAACAAGAGAAGGGAAGCTGTAATAAAGAAAGAGGAAAGTGAAGGAGAAGCTGAAGCTGAATTTCTGATTAGAAGGGAAACTGTCGTATAAAAGAGAAGGTTCTGTAATTCTGCGTCATTATTTGCACCGTCAAGTTCAACGACTTCTTTCACATTCGGTTACTCCTTTTAACATTTTTATTTTCTTCGTAAAAAAAAGGAATTTTTTTCATGAGGTAGAACTTGAGGATATAAATTTTCCTTCAACCAACCAAGTCCTCTAACAGACATAGTAACGAATTCAACCCTGTACAAGACATTTAAAGAATTCAGATATCTAAACGAATTGATCTCTAATAGATAACTAATCTTATTTAAAATAAATGAACGATAAAATCGGTGACTTTCTTGGATACATGTCTATAAGAGATCAATTTATTGATACAATAAATAAGAGAATTCCTCTTCTTTATCCTCTATTTCTCTTAATATAATGATTTTGATGAGTAAACTTTATAACTACTAGACTAAAAAAATGAAGGATGAAAATGAAATGTAACTTGATCCCTTGCATGTAATTGGGGTAAAGACTACTTGTGTCTTTCATTAGAAAGTATATTAGTTGAAGAGAGGATAGAAAACATTATAGGTATACAGTTATCAATAAGCTTGTTTCTCACCTAAGATGAAGTTTAATACAAATTGTATAATGGTTCCAACAGAAGTATGTAAAAACACCAATTAATTGGTACTGGAATTAAGCCATGATTAGAAAATTTTAATGTAGCTAAATTGTAATTAAACTGGTGTGCGCGGGCGTAGTAATCAAAAGCTGAATTGTTGTACACAAAAATAATGCATATATTGGTAGGTGCAAAGGTATAAGATTTAATTACATGCAAGTAATCAAGTGGGATTAGTGTAAGATTTAACACTTGACATCTATAACGCATTTTCCACATAATTTTTGTAATGACAGTTTATAGCCAGTGAGAAAGTTGTCTTATTCAAAGAACAGCCAATGTGATACGTAACTGAAGATTATCAAGGTTCTAAAATACACTTCTTAGCTACATATAATACAATATGAGACAGCAATACTGATAGCTGTTATATTTGCATCAGTATCTCGATTCCTCCAACAACATATTTTATGACAGATAGTTAATATAGTTGAGATTCTTTGTCGCTGATTGGATAGACAAGGCAGTATTAAAAAATAAATGAACAAAATGAAAAAATAAATTGAAATCAAATGACTATGCTATGTAACTTTGAGTATACTCGGCAATTAACATGGTTTAGAGGAAATCTCAACAGAAACAGAAACAATAACTCAACCAACAAAACCGTATGGTATAACTTGATGCTGTGTATGATCATAACCATGTCGTGAAGAATTAATTTAAAGATAAGTTTCAAGCTACCAAGTAAACATATAAAAGCCTCAACGTATGATTAGTTTGATCATGTTGATGGCAATTACTTTCTTGAACATGTAATTGGATCTACAAATTTTCACTTTAAATCAGATAAAAGTGGATGTAAAACCTGAATGATATAACTCTGATAGGAATTTGATCCTTATTTGTCAATCCAATCCTTGAATAGCAACATCATGTAAAGTGGAATATTCACTGCTGCAATGACAGTGAACATTCGCAGTGTACGTATCAATCTCTGGATTATAATTATTGTCTTTGATTTGCCTGTTCTGGGCAGTATTCTTCCCACAGGATCAAGAGCAATGCCTGAAGCAATATCCACATTAACAGAGAGTTCTTCCTCCTGAGCAGTATTTTTTCTAGCAGCTGCCCGCATCACAACATTACCCCTGACAGCAGATACAAGAAAGAACAGAAGGAAGAGGCTGAAGTTTTGTCTCACTATTCACAATAAGTCAAATATAATACTTTACAGGTTTGAACTGCCACATATATGGAAACCAAACTTTACCTTTCTCCTAAGCTCCTGTTGTTTGAATTTACAGTAGATGGATTCAAGGGTTTCTTTATAAGATGCATTGATCCTTCTGCATCCCACATCATCTCATATTCATAGTTAGCATCCTCGTCCTTGTCTTTCGTTTCACTTCTAGAAAAGATGCTAGAGATTAGTTGCTTACAGTAGCCAAATAAGCCCCAACACTGATGCCAAAAACTTGTGCCACTTGTTGGCCAAAATAGGGTGGCAAGAAGGGTCAGAATAAATAGCACGATATACCTGACAATTACAGCAATGAACCCATTTAGAAAAATGCTGACTGAAATATCAGTTGAAAATTTACTCGCATCACTTTATACCAACCATAAGTAAATGTGCAATTGTGTTGGAAGATAACATAGTTGAGTCAACAAAGCGTCTTTTGCAATGGAAGCATTGGGAAGAGTTGAGTTATCAACTAATAACAGCATGAACGAAGGATACAAGTTTCCTTGTTGCCAACTTATAGTACCTAGAGTTTGCTGCACACTACTGTCAGTATATTTGTCCGAACACTCAAAGAAGACTGTTAAGCAAGAAGATAAGGTTTTTACCTCCTTTACAGGCCCAGATTTTGATTGATGAGTGATGGTGCACTGATCATGATCATGACCGGACAAAATAAGCTTCTGTCAAAACTAAAACTGTTAATTCAGAGTGAAGTTACCCTCCCTATAGTCTCTGCTCCCAACTCCCCTAAATTGAGTCATCCTCCACCTCCCCGTCATTGCGACAGAGAAAATGAAAATGACCAGGTATTTTTATCAACACAGAACAAAGTCTTTACAAAATGAAATAAATAAATTGAACAACAAATCATCGGTAAACCCACCATGGATTATTTTTTCCCCATATCCTTATTAAGGTAGGAATAGCAACACAATGGTCCAAAAAGAAGATAGATGACTCACAGGTTTGAGTGTATCCAGTAAGTACTTTGAAGACTTCTCAGAAACATAATTTTGATACCTGGATGAAATAAAATTTAAACCAAAAATCAGCAACTATGAGCTACCTGCACACGGTGCATGCAATTTTCCTGCTTCTCGCATGGTTTGAAAGATGAGTAACTTACGATATCTCATTAGGGTTACCATTTACAGCATAATTTATCCTCTGAAATATAAGAAAGATTTGTTAATAAGTTTCAGGAATGGCAGGAAAGAAAACATTCAGATTTCAGACAACTCACTGGCATACTATTGTAATGACCAATACCATACTTCGTTCAATGTGCTTGCTATAGAATCATTTCAAGAAACTAAAATAAACTTTACCTGATTGATAACTGGGGATCTCCGATCAGGACCACAGTAAGTATCATCATGTCGATATAAAGGAATATGCGTCAATAAGACTCTTGGATGAGCCACATCACCTAGTAAAGTTCAAAAGGAAAAAGGATTACAATAGGACATGTGATCCTAACAATGAAATGTATTTATTCATAGGCCAGTTCATACCAACAGATATATTCTTCACAAAATCCCAAGTTTGAAAAGTCAGATGGTTTTGTGGGTTTCCTGTAGAAAAAACAATTAATTCAGCATTATCAAAATTTTCCAAGCATTGACATGTATATATAGAATATGATTTCAATTCACAATATTTCAATTATATAAATTGTTAGATATTTAGATAGTTAAACTATAATTGCTTGTTTAAGAAAAAAATTGTCACAATTTGAAATATAATTCATAAATAAAGCCTTGTCCAAATGGAGAAATGGTCATCATTAAAGGCATGAAGGAGGAATAAGTTCTATGTGAAATAAGTTCTATGTAAATGGGACGATGCAGCAAACAGATACAAAAAATTCATTCCAGCAGGTACAGTTGTGAGAGAAGGATTTGATCAAATGAAAAAAACTCGTGTCAGATAAATCAGGTTTACATATTGCACTGACAATGATACAAATGTGATCACTTGGTACCATAAGGTAAAAGTACTAGCAATTACAGCATAGCTACTTAAGAAAAATGACAGCTCAAATGTATAAGGAAAATCTAGTTTACCATCCAAAATTTGAGCATCAACGGCAATAAAATCCACGTTTCCAATTGTAAATTTGTAATTCCTTTTCCCATATGCTTCTTCATAACGTTGGATAACCTATGCTCATGTAATGATAGAAATGTTAAGAGCAAGGAAGGAACCAAATGAGATAAAACAATTAATGGAAAGTACAAATTAGATTGTGAATAATCATATAAAATTGAAGGGAATTTTTTTTTTTTGAAGAACCACTTGATAAAACGTTTTGAAACATTTACGGTGTGGTTTAATGCTTGTTCTTCATGAACCACAATGAACAAGACAGATATCTGGCATTATGTCAAGTTACAGTTGTCAAGACCAATTATCAGACAACTTTGATGAATTTTTGTGCCATTCAGAACCAACACAAGATGAAGACATTTCATTGTTACAATAAAAATGCCATGTTTTGTTATTCTTCTAACGGTAATGCATAAATGTCAAGGAGATTAGTTTATACAAATCTCATATAACTCACCAACAATTTGTATGTCATCAATAGTCCAAATTTTTAAATGGGAAATTATTATACTGACTTCTTAAACTTTGGTCCATTTGTAAATAGACACGTTGAAATTGTTTTCATCCCGGCTACTTCTTAAATTTCTTGTATTAATACAATTGAGTAATAGACCCTTCAGTTAACCCTTCTTAAATTACTATTATTTTAAAACATGATTTCCTGAACTTTGTCTTTCAGAAGTCTAAAAATAAATAATAAAAAGACAAAAAAGAAAAATAAGAAAGATTCTGAAGACCACATACAGGACTCATCTTATCTTTTTCTCCTCTTTCATTCTCCCAAGGTCATGTTTCACTCTCTAAAAACCATTTTAACAGAAAAAACTAGGATATGTCCAAATGCTTGAGTCTCTTCCCATGCTCCATACATTAGTGAGAACTTGTGCGCCTTTGGATATCCTAAGGCCACACATGTCTTACTTCAGCTACTGATTTGTGAATTCCTATTGAAACTACTAGGTGCAAGGTGAATTTTTTTTTTTTCCTTTCAAATGGTGTGCAGATTAGGGACTTAGAGATATCTGAATCTTTAGGTTCTCCATTTATATTTCTCTGGGTTTTGTTGCAACTCCACCATAACCCATTCTACTGTGGCTCATGTTGCATCTATCTCATCGATAAATGAGTTCTGCCACAAAATGTGAGACAAGTAGCCATGTGTGACTTGGGAAAATGCATGAAAAGACAAAGATGAGAATGAATTCATGTGTGGTTTTCAAAGTCTTTCTTCTTTCTTCTTTTTTCTTGTTAGTTTTTTTTTTTAGATTTTAAACACATAAAAATCAGGAAAATGTGTTTTGGAAATGATAATCATAAAATTAATAGTAGTAGTAGAAAAACTGAGAGGCTAACATTTAATCTCAAAGAAGGATCAAGATGAGTAGTTCATTCATGACATCACAGAAGGGCCCATTGCATTAATACAATAAGTTTAAGTAATAATTAGAATGAATATATAAAGTACAAGGTGTCTATTTGCAAATGAGGGGGTCTATATAATTTCTCAACATTCAACAACCCTTAGGCACAATAAATGTATTTTCTCATCTCAAGGTCTTGAGACAAATGTAACCATGACCACATTCTTAGACTCTCAGTCATGTCTTTAGGCATTTGATTCCCTTATAGCTATACATCATACAAGTCAATTCAAACAAGCAACCTTATGGTTATTGGACCTTGGGCATCAAAAGTTGAGCTATAGCATGTTGAAATACCTCTGGATATAGAGAATGAAGACTTTCATACCCAATATCATGATTTCCCGGGACGTAGTAAACTTGCATGTCTGTGTATTTTCCTTGTGCATTTAAACCAAAGATATGTCGGAAGCGACTGAACGACTCCTGCCATCTGTCCATTCAAAAGATTGTAAAAGAATTTCATAATAGAAAATTTGAGTGAACATGCTGAAGTACAACTAAAAGAACACCCGTTAATTTTCAGAACTTACTCTTCATCTGATAAATAAGGACCTCCATCAAAGTAATCACCTAAAAACAATATGACATCAGGTTTGAAAGGCAGGACAGATGCAAAGAATGATCTACGCATGTTTAAATCAGTGTAGAATTCAGCAAGCTCCAGTGCAAGTGATTTTGGAGGAAGACGGAGAGAAGTTTTATCCATGAGCTGTTATGTTTAAGGAAACTCAAATCAAATGATGAGAGAAAGATGCACTTACATAGAAACATGAAATAATAGAAATACATAAATACTTAAATACTTAAATAGGCATATGCCATGCAGGTATAGTTTTCACAGATATATGTATGACCATAGAAAAACAATAAGAGAAGAAACATTCACCTGTGGATCTGCAATAACAGCAACTTTTACATAATCAGCTTGATAATTCCCACCGTCTGTTTGAACCTGCAAACAAAAATAAAAGAAATTAGCACAGTTAATTATGTTATTATGTTTAGCAAATGAGATTATAATTGTAATGTAGACATCTTTTAGATGTACTGTAATAAAAGAACCAGTCATGTTGACTTAGGCTCCCTTCATCTTTATCAAATATTCAATTTTTCAACAGAGAGAAAATGGTGTATGCTTCGTCATTGCAAATAGTTTTTACTTTCTCATTTCATTGCAAATGCAATAGATTCGTTAACTTTTGCAATAACTACCTTAAGAGCCATACTAGCAATGATTACGATTGATTAGTGGTGTAAAACATTTTAGACTAACAATGGATGTAAATTAAGCCCTTCAACAAAACCCCGTACATAATTTACAACGAAACAAGTAAAAATTTCGAGATCCAAAACATACACTACCCACATTCCTTGGTGGAACCACTACATGTAAAAACTATCAACCGTAATATACCAACTACCAGACTACCTTAAATTTCAAAATTCAAAAAACCCGTAACTATTATTTTATTTTATCTTTAAAATGGAGCTTCATTGTTCATGAACTCCCCAGCCCATAAACAAAACATGAACTTTCTTATGGTATTGGTTGCGAAGTAATGTGACCCAGAAATGAAAAAAAGTGAAAAGATGAAGACTTTGTAGTTACCATTGAAGAAGAAGAGGTACGAAGAAGCTGGGGCCAGGAACAGGTGAAGAGGGGTGGAACCCAATAAGCGAACATCTCACCATAGAGAAGGGTTAGTGTCCATGAGAGGCACAGTAACAGAGTTAACTCGTGCTGCTTCATCACCAATACAGATCCTCACACTCGCACCTGTAGAGTCAAATCAAATCGCTGCTTCGCTCATCGCAAACTGTACTCTATCGAATTACTACATTACCGATCTCGATCTTCCAATTTTTTTATTTTCTTCTCTCATTTTTTTTATGCTTTTGTCAAACTGGTTCTGATATCCGCATTTCAACGAAGATTACACTTTACGCTTTGTTATTAAGAAAGGAAATAAGAGGATAAGAAATTTTTTCATTCATAATTATATTATACTACTCATTTTTATTATCATAAAATTATTTAAAAAATAATTATTCATTTTCATTATTATTAAGTTATTTAAAAAAATAAAAAATAAAACTAAATGAAATAAATGTATGAATTGAAAAAAATAAAAATTGTGGAACAAACGCTATATATTTTATTGACTACAAATGTATTTAAGGTTAATTACGAGGAGGAAACATATTTTACCTATTAAATTTTTTAATACAAATGTTGATATATGAATATTTGAATGGTATAAATATAAATTTAACATTTTTTTATCGCATATTCTCTTGTTACGTTTATAATTTCACTCTTTATTTATTATTCTCTTGTTATATTTTTATACATATACGGTAATTGGGTGTAACATGTTTTAGATTTTTTTTCTTCTATTAAATTTATAATTCAAAAATAATATCATTATTAATATTTATCTAACTAGCACCATTTTCAGATTTTTTTTAAATAACATGTTATTAAATTTATAATACAGAAATAACATAATTCTATCAACATTTATCTTATTACACAATTTTTAATTTTACTAATTAATATAATTTTTAAATAAAATAATATTTATTAAATATAATAAATAAATATAAATATATATTTTTTATAGAAAATAAATACATAAATATTATATATATATATATATTTAAAAAAATTTCTTTATATAATTATATGAAATAAATATAAATATATTTTTTAAAATAACATAAAAATATATTTATATAATTATATTATTAATATACTTTTATAAATATAGTAAAAACAAATATATTTAATATATATATATATATATATAATGTTTCAATATTTATTTATATTTTTATAAAAATATATTAAAATATATTTTTATAAAAATATATTAATAATATAATAAAATATATTTATTAAATTTTATTATATTTATAAAAATATAAATAAATATTTAAACATTATATATATATATATATATTTGTTTTTACTATATTTATAAAAATATATTAATAATATAATTATATAAATATATTTTTATTTTATTTAAAAAAATATATTTATATTTATTTCATATATATAAATAAATATTTTTAAATATATATAATATTTATATATTTATTTTCTATAAAAAATATATATTTATATTTAATAAATATTATTTTATTTTAAAAATTATATTAATTAGGGAAATTGAAAAATAGCATGTTACTGGAAAAAAAAATCTAAAAATAGTAATAGTCAGGTAAATATAAAATGATGTTATTTCTGAATTATAAATTTAATAGCAGACTAGTGATGAAAAAAAATAAAAAATAAGGTAGAAACTTTGATGTTAAATTCTTCTAATGACTAATTTTGAAGTCAATTCTTTAAATAAATCTCACTTTCTTGAAAGTTATTTTATTTTAAATCAAAAGTATACTTGAGTTTTTTTTTTTTCTTAATTTTTTTAAAGGTGTTTGTTTTACTTATGATTTCATATTTCCTGGAATGTAATTGATGAGAATATATTATGATCGAAAATTTATTCTTATGCATGTTTTAAAATATGTTTCGTTAACTTTTTTATATTTCTAGAAATATTTTTAAATTATAACAGAGGTTAGAAAATAACTTCCTTAAATATAACTTTCTCACTCTCTTACAGGAATAACACATGTGCATGCGCATCTACAATTATTTTCTGTGTATTCTAAACTCTTCAGGTTTGAATGCATGATTCCAAATTTGAATGTTAACAATTCAATTATTGAGATTCTAATAAGGTATATATATATATATATATATATATATATATATATATATATATATATATGTTATTCAAAAGAGAAAGTTGCTTGAGGTTGGTTTCTGTTGACATTTGAAAGATGAAATAGTGGCCAAGAAGCCACTATGGTCTGCTAAACCTATTCCATCTTCTTTTTGGGATATGATTTGATGCACTTGGAGGGTTATTTTATTGTTTGATTCTGTTCTTGGTGAATAAATGGTTAATTTCAAATATCATGGCTGGCCATTATGTGTTTACAGCCCCACCACTGAAAGTGAACCTCACGTTTAATGGGCTAGAGAGACTTTCTAGTTTCTACCAAGAACAGCCAAAAGGATGGATACAGAGTCAACAAATAATCATGTTTAGTACATTGATGTTACATCTCCAATAAGCTTCAAACATGTTCCTGTGTTAAATAATATATCAAATTGCTGATTGTGCTATTGCTGGGTCATTCAACTTGTCAGTGAGTGATTGAGTGCACTTCTGCTTTTGGTTTTAGGCCTCAGATTTTGTCATGAACCATAAAATCTCTAATTAACTCAAGGTCTATAGTACTGAACAATTATTTTTTAATCATAAATTGTCAAATCATGCAGTTCATAGCTCCTCTTCTGGTAGAACATTAGTTTGATTGCTCAAGCACTGCTACATCTCTGGATAACAATCTCAGAGAAAAATGGATATGAGTGGTTTTATGTCCTACTGTCGTATATGATCACACAGGTTTGTGCACTAAACCAAGACCACTGATGTGCAAAGTACAACACAGAAGGGACGTGAAGGAAAATGGTGCATCAATTGTTTTATAGTTACCCATTTCATTGCTGATTTACAGAACAAAAAGCATGACATGTGATGTGTGAGCTGAGGTTTTTCCATATATATTTGATAGCAAATTGACAAATCCTTTGTGGCATTTCTTTAGTAACAAAAGTAAACCATTTGGAATATGAATTTGGTTTCAATTTGAGATGTCAGTTTCCATGATTTAGTATGTATTCTTCGCTTGTATTGAGTGAATCATTTAAAGCATACAAAAGCAGTCTTCCATTTTAAGTTAGAAAGTGGAATTTGTTACACCAGTTACCAAGTAGTTCAATTGCTTTGGAACTATGTTGTGTCTAGTAATATAGTTTGTCATGAAGAATAAAAATAAGAGTTTTTGTGATAAAAATGGCGTGAGATATAAACGAAAAAATAGCATTTTTTTTCTTTTGAACTAAAACCCTGCATGCTCGCTCCTAATAGAAAGGGCTGGTATTCAATAATGTGAACGACAATAATAAAACTCATTAAGTTTATAGCACTGCAATAATAAGTTGAGATGTGAAACAAGAATATATACCATAGGTTTGAATTGTGTTAGGATTCTGTATTGATCATCAGAAAGATTTATTAGAAGCTGTTAAAAGTTCCAACGTCCAAGAATAGATTCTCTTGCTCAAAATGGATGATCTCATAATATAATTCACAAAATCTTTCAAGCAATCATGTTCTGACATGGGGATTCAACATTTACATGGTAAAATGAGAATCTGTATTTATAGAAAAGTAAAAGAAAAAATTTGCACAAGTATACATTGTGTCAAGATTTATTGAAGGACAAACATTTCCCTCAAGTCTTTATTTCTGTGTTGGCTTGTTGTCTGATCCTACATTCTTCAGCCATTCAACAACTTCTCTGATGCTTGGTCTCTTGAAAGGATTGTGGCTGACACACATGCAAGCCACATCCAGTACCTTCAGCATCTCTCCTTCAAACCCCTTCCCTCTCAGAAGAGGTTCAAATACTTGATCTTGCTTTCCTTCGATTCTCATTTGTTGAACCCAGCCAACCAACTCGCTTGACATTTTTGGCTTGCAAACATCTACAGGCCTCCTCCCTGTCAGCAGCTCAAGCATGACAACCCCAAAGCTGTACACATCTCCTCTCAGAGTAGCCACCCATGCTTGTCCATACTCTGGGGGAATGTAGCCTAATGTACCAACAAGTTCAGTGGTAACATGAGTATGATATGGAAGAATCAATCTAGACAACCCAAAATCAGCAACATGTGCCTCAAAATTTTCATTAAGGAGTATGTTGCTTGACTTGATATCGCGATGCACGATGTGTGGGTCACATATCTGATGCAAATAAGCCAAACCACAGCTTGCTCCTTGTGCAATCTTCAAGCGAGTTGGCCAATCAAGTTGCGATGGACCATCAGGTTTTTCATGTAACCAACAATCGAGGCTTCCATTTTCCATGTACGTATACATGAGAAGCCGGAATCCATCATGCACACAATAGCCTTGCAATGCCACCAGATTTTCATGTTGTGCTGTTGACAAAGCCTCTACTTCGGCTTTGAATTCCCTTTCCATGAGGCCCAAGTCTCCTGAAAGTTTCTTGATGGCCAGTGTAGTTCCATTTGGTAATGTTGCTTTATAAACCAAACCAAAGCCCCCGCATCCTATTATGTTTGCTTGACTGAAATTTTCAGTGGCTTTTAGGATGTCAAATATGGTAAGGTCCTTGGTTTCATTATTCTTGTTGGGAAACAATACCACTAGGCTAGCCTCCTTACCACCTTCAGGATGAATTCCACTGTTGGAGTAGGGAGAAATTGATTCCATTTCAATCTTGTTAGGCTCTCGTCCTGGCTTGACCCTTCTCTTGGATAGTATCCACAGAGTCAACACTGTTATCAAGGAACCAAAGCCAAAACTGACGGTAATGAGAAGTGCAATCATTACTTTTTTGTTTGAACTGCGACTAACTGCACTAGTATTCGTAGTATTTTGTTGAGGACAAGAGCGCTGAATGGCTCGACCGCACAATTGTGCGTTTCCTTCGAAGCTGGAATAGGAGAAAGTATCAAATTGACCGCCAGTTGGTATCTGTCCTTGAAGATTATTGAATGCTACACTGAAAAAAGACAAGAAATGTAAATTTCTAAGGGAATCAGGAATTTCACCAGATAGCTGGTTTCCTGAGAGGTCTAGTTTCTCTAAGTTAGTCAAGTTTGATAACTGAACTGGTATATCACCAGAGAAGGTGTTATTTTTCAGGTCCAGCTGATGAAGGACTTTGAGTTTCCCAATCTCAATAGGGATACTGCCATTAAGGTGATTGCTTCCTAGATATATTGCTGGAGGTAGGGCTGAAAGCTGGTTATATTGCAACAGAGAAACATTGTTTGCATTAGCAAAGACAGGTAACTCAAAGTAAGTCCTTTCCACTTTATCATTTGCCTGTTGTGATGTCAGTGCTGGGAGTTCTGTGAGCTCTACTGGAAATGCTCCCGTAAGGAGGTTAACAGACAAGTCCATGTAGAAAAGTTGAGGAAGTGTACCCAACCAAGGAGGAGTTGGACCACTAATTTGATTGAAGGACAGGTCCAGGGCCTCAAGCTTCTTAAGTTTCACAAGCCAGCCTGGTATTTGACCTGTGAAATTACAACCACCAAATCCTAAAACCTGCAGTTTTTGAAATCCATCTGGCTCTATTATGTTCACATCTTGTGGTATCATTTCATTGAAAAAATTCTTGGAGAGCATAAGAGTACTAAGGTTCTTGAGCCCCCTGAGTATTCTCAGAGCCCCAGTAACATTCCTCAACTTATTAGTAGAAATTGATAGGAAAGATAAAGACTCTAGTTCAAGTATCTTGGGTGAAATCTCTCCCTCAAGCTGATTAGATGCAAACCTCACAGCTGAAAGTGACTTGCATGCAAAAAGGGTTGGTGGTAAAACACCGGTAAAATAATTGTTGCCAAGATCAAGTGTAGTAAGGCTAAGGAATCCTGAGAAATTGAATGCAGAGAGATTTCCCTCCAAGAGGTTGACCCTTAAATTCAACTCCTCAAGATTGACACAGTTCATCAGAGATGGGGGCATAGTACCTGTCAAATTGTTGACATGAAGGAGTAGCCTTTCCAACTTGGAGAGTTTACCAATATCATGGGGGATTAAACCTGTGAAATGATTGGAGTAGAGCTCCAAAACTGTGAGGTTGGTAAGTCCAACAATACCATCGCCAAGAGTTCCAGTGAGTTTATTGAAGGGCAATGAGATTTCTGTGAGAGAAATAGCATAAAAAAGATCACTTGGGATAGGCCCTGACAGAAAATTGAAACCTGCTCTAAATTTCTCCAGCTTGGAGCATGCTCCAAGTCCAGGTTGAATGGCACCATCAAAATCATTGGATGAATAATCCAAGAATCTGAGAGAGGAGGAGTTATGGTCATTAATGCAAAAGAGAGAAGTGGGAATATGACCTATGAAGCTGTTATTACTAACATTCAAAGACACCAAACTCCCTCCAGCTGCTGCAGCTGCCAGGTTCTCAAGCAAAGAATTTGGAAGTATCCCATTGAAAAAGTTACTGGACAAATCCAGCTCCTGGATAACACCACCACTACTATTTTTGCCACTTTTATCACCAACAAAAGGTGGCAATTCACCAGATAGATGATTGTAGCTCAAATCAAGAACCAGCAAGTGATTGAGTAATGAGAAAAATTGATGCTGGAGACTACCAGATAACCTATTATGGGAGAGATTAAGGTGAGAGAGAGAAGAGAGGTTTGTGAGAGAGGGGGAGATGAAGCCAGTTAGTCCTCTAGAAGGTAGCAGAAGATGTGTAACTCTCAGATCCCCATCACAAGTAATGCCTTCCCAACTACAACAATCGAGAGAATCAGACCAATTGAGAGAAGGAAAGGGTGGAGAGGTGGATATGTTCCCAGAGAAGGCCAAGAGGGAGAGCTTATCAATCTGGCTACAAGAGGAAACTTGAACAACAAACAAGGACAAGAAGAATAAGGGAAGTATGATAGAGACCATTCAGTTGGGAATAATGTAAGAATTGTAAAGGAAATATGCAGAGGAAGATGAAAATGTGATGACATGAGAAACACTGTCTGTTTGAGGTGATGGTTGGTTGGTCATGAGAGAGTGGACAAGAGAAGGAGGAGGAGGAGGAGAGAGATATAAGGGGGTGAAGAACCAATGTAAGAAGAGATAGTTGGGGTGGCATGGGAATGAGGAAGACCATGACCATCCATTGACAAAGCAAGCAAAATGAAGGGAGAGAGAGAGAGGAGAAGGGTGACGTTAGTAGATAATATTAAGATTTTACTTGTCATCAACAGGTATAAATCTAAAACATTTTTATTTTATATCATCACCTTTTGTCTCAAAAAGAAGTATAAGTCAAAAATGATAATACAAAAGTAGGAGTGGATGGTTGGCATTAAAGAAATGAATAAAAAAATAGAAATTGGAGAGTTTACTTTAAGGGTGGAAGTGGAGGAAGAGTGGAAAATGTGAAAGATGATGATGAAAAACATGATTGAGAAATACGCCAATAACAACGTGTGGAGCAGACAGACAACAAAAGATAATATACAAACCCGTCACTCTCTTCTCTTCCATTCCTCATTTCCAGTTTCTATCTATGTTATGTTATGAAGCACCTACCAGTTTCTGGTGGATTTGGATACCACAGAATATCATGCGAAGAGTCACAGGGAAATGGTTTGAGTCGTAACATTCATTATATAACTCATTCTACCAACATGCTAGAATATTTAGATGTATATAATTCATTCCTCCAGAAAACTTGCGAAATTATATTAAAACATTTAAACAAATTGCAGACTAAAAAATCCAAGATATCGTTACATTGATCTTCTCTCTCTCTCTCTCTCTCTCTCTCTCTCTCTCTATATATATATATATATATATATATATATATATATATATTTACATTAAAAATTAATATCTTGATTTTTTCAAAAAAAAAAGACTAATCAGTCAAACTTTTGATAATTACTTATTCAGAGGGTGAAACCAAAAAGGTTAGAACTCCTTTTCATCATCTCTTCTAGAGACCCTTTTTGAAGTATAACATTTGGTTGGTGCAAATAGTCAATATTGATATATGCATCCTGTGATGAACAAAGACAAATTCCTTAAAAAACACACACAGAGAGACATATAATTAAGGAAACTGAAAGAAGCACACATGCAAACCCTGCCAACGCAAATGATGATGACGACAATGTCTGCTCCAGAAATGCATGTTTCAGACTTTCAAATTATGTGGGCGCATATGGGAACAACATGGTCAGCGTAAGTATGTTATAATATATATTTTTAAATCTTAATTTTCTAAGTTTATAAGTTAAGAAAATAAAAAATATTAAAACTATTTTCAGAATATATTGGGATACCATAGTCGATTCAAAATATTTTAACTTCATTAAAAAAATTTATATAAACATTTTTGTGACATTTCTAGAAGGATTATAAAAATAATTGAAAGGTTTGACCATAGTTCCCCTTTAAAATATTATATGTTCTCTATAATCCTGGGCTAAAACTTGTGGGAAGCCCATACGGTCCACTAAAGAGTAATTGGGCCATATTGTAGTGTGAGCCCAATTCCTTCTCTTTGCACCACAGATGTGAGAAACACCTAACACATTACAGAATGAACTGAGTAACACCAACGCTGTTTTCTTCTTTCTTTTGTTCATTCGAATTTGTTCTCTGTTCCCTGCGATTAAGTTTGAGAACCGTCGTCGATTTTGTCTTTCTGGGCACCCCTGAATTCCCCTGCATCGCCTTGAAAGTGGTTCAGTTGGAACAACAAGAAGAAAAAAGATGTCGGCTCGATTGATGAAGAAGGTTCTGAACGAGCAGCATCATCTTCCCCAACACGTGAGCGAAGAAGAAGAAGAAGAAGAAGAAGAGAACGATTCTGAGCCCATCACTCGTTCCTCCATCAACCCCTTCGACCTCCTGAACGACCAAGATTCTGAACCCGAAAACCAGGTTTTTTAAAAACCCCACCTTTTTTTTATTAGATTCAAGCTTTGAATTTGTGAAGCATTATCCTGTTTACCTTTTTTAATTTGTCATGCGTTCCTGTTTTTTTTTTTTTTTTTTGTTGCTATCATGCACCAATAAATTGGATTAGCTAGAATTTTGTAAATTTACCTTTGTATTTGCGAATAGGTCAGAATTTATCGTATTCTTTTCTGTTAATTAAGGTCTCACCCTTTAGTATAAGCGAATGGTATAAGTCTTAAGCTGATTAAATGCCTCACTTGTTGGACGTGAGGAGCTTCTACAATACTTAACTGCATAAGTTGATTTTAGCTCATGTGAGAAGCTCAATTCATTTTGCTTTCTTATTTTCTTTTCTTATAAGTGTTTGTAGAGAAGTTTATCCAAATAGAGTCACAGGATGTATTGACTTTTTGCAAGAAAAATTTAGTTTTTACCTGAAAAAAAATGTTTAGCCTAAAATTTATGCTTGGATTCTTCTTTGTTCACAAGAAGGTAGAAATTAAAGAGTATGCTTCTTAGTTGTTACTTAATGTTTCTATTTTGGCTTCAGGGAGATGAGTTGGCGTCTGCCAATGAAACATTGGCGAATTATGATGATAAAGAGGTGTCATCTTCATTGAAATCTACAGCTGAGGTTTCCACATCAAATCCAAAATCGAAGAAAAAGAAAAAAAAGAAAAACAAGGATAGTGCTGTTGCAAATAAAATGGGAGATGATGAAGAATTGGAATTGATTCTAGAAGATTTATCTCTGAATGCCATCTCATCAGCTGAGCAACCTGTTTCTACCAAAGACAGAAATAAATCTGTTAAACAGCAAGCAACCTCCATATTGCAAGTGGATCCTAAATATTTGAATGCTGAAAATGAGCTGAGAAGAATATTTGGATCTAAGGTTGTGAAATCATTTGAGAGTAGCAATCAAGCGAGCAGTTCTAGGCAGATACGAGGGGTGAGGGGGCGTGTACATTACAATCTTAGAAAGAGTGTTCTTGTCAATCCATCAGACAATTGGGTCCGCTGTGATGACTCTCTGTCCATGCAGTTTCTGGAGATAAAAAATGGATATAACTACTTCAGGTAAGGAACTAAGGATCATCATCATTATAATAATTGCAACTTTTTATAAGCCTTATAACCTCTTTTCATTTTTCCTTATCGGTCATTTTTACAATTTAGATATGTACACTCGCCATCTTACTCCCAATCTCAGAGAGCATTTGAAGCTGCCAAAGCAATTAATGACTTAAATGGCATAGCGAGCATATTACAGCACCGTCCTTATCATATAGATTCCCTTCTAACAATGGCAGAATACTTTGCAGTATTGGGTGAACAACAAATGTCTGCAGATGCTATTGCCAAGTGTCTATATGCCCTTGAATGTGCATGGCATCCCATATTCAATCCACTGCAGGGAAATTGCCAGTTGAAATTCAAACATGATACAAACAAACCTATATTCACAGCCCTTTTCACTCACATGAAAAATTTGGACAGGCGTGGCTGTCATAGATCTGCCTTAGAGGTCTGCAAATTATTGCTTTTGCTAGATTCTGATGATCCCATGGGGGCTATTTTCTGCATTGACTACTTTGCTTTAAGGGCTGAGGAGTATGCATGGCTGGAGATGTTTTCTGAAGAATATAAAAGTGATAACTCCATTTGGTTGTTTCCAAACTTCTCTTTTTCCCTAGCCATTTGTCGATTTTACCTTGAGCGCAAGGGCTGCGAAGATGATTGTATGAATGCTGAAAAGTCTTCTTCGTCTGATCTTATGAAACAAGCATTGATGCTTCATCCTTCAGTCATAAAGAAGCTAGTCGCTAAAGTACCATTGAAAGATCGCACATGGACAGATATTCTCAAGCATACCTTTTTCCGGTCAGATCAAACAGGAATTCCATCCCAAGATCACTTGATTAATATATATGTTGAGAGAAATTATCTTATGTGGAGGCTTCCTGATCTGCAAAAACTTCTCGGTGGTGCTGCAAATCTAGTGATTGAAACACTAGAAAGTAATAAAAGTGAAGTTAAGGATTGGGCTTGTGTCAGAAAAGAAGCATATTCATCCGAGAAAAATGAGTAAGAGATTTTATTTTTTTATTTGTTGTTTTAACTTAATTTTGCATGTTCGCTTTGGTGTCATGTCTGTTGAAGTGAGTTTTTACCTGGATCTGAAAAGGTATCAAATATGTAAGGGTCCATTTACTTTTGTTTTTAATTGTTAGTTTAAAAAATTTTCAGAAACTAAAACTACATTTAGTCCACCCCACATTTTAAACTCACTTCAAAAGTTCCTCATCATGTTAAAATTAATTTAAGATCTGGTGGTGGTAGCAATGACGAGAAGGGTCACTATAAAATATAGAAGAGTGTTTTTTTAAAAAATACTTAAAAACCAAGTTCAAAAATATTTTCTTTTTAAATGAATGTGACTGTTTTGAGATTTAAAATAACTTTTCAACTCTATGTTAGCCAAACATGTTTGAAAAATTGTATTTGAAAACCAAATCTTGCAACCACTCCAAATGCCACCTAATTATACTGTTTTACTAACCATCTAAATTTATTGTCTTCAAAACTTGGTAAACTTATTTCAACTTGGCATGAGCATTTGGTAGTTGAGCAATTGAAATTATGATTGAGAACCCTGCAATGAGCTGATAACATGACTGAAGAGTAGTTGTGTCATGAAGTTTTCAAGTTGCATAGAATAAAAAAAATTAAGCATACTCATTTCATGGAATCAAGAAAGAGGGGATAATTAAGCACACATGGCAGCACTGTTTTAACATCATATGTGATCATTTGCATATTCTTTCTTCTTGTATGTTAGGTATGGACATTTGCTGGTATCTGATTTCTCTGATTCACTTTCATCAATTCCTCGAGAAAATTTTCAACAATTTATGGGCGTTCCAAGGATGATGGAAGAGGGTATGCAGGATGAAAACCAATTTGCTAATCTGCCTGGCAATGGCCATGCTCCTCGTGGTGTTGCAAATAGAAATGCATTAGCTGTCTTGTTTGAGTCGATGCTACCGTGGGTTACTTACGAGGATAGGGACGATGTTGAACCTGATGATAACCAACATGATGACCACAGGCAAGACAATCAATGATTCTGGATGCCATGCTCTAAAGGCCTTTTTTGGATGGAGTGTTGAACTCAATGATGAGATGTCTTTCTTGTACAGAGCGAGTTTTAGGGAGCTTGATGTCTTCTGCTATTATGTTGATCATTGTCAAACAATGTGGGAACTCTAGATGCATAAAAATACCATATAATTTGTGGTGTCTAATTTTAGGGATATTTATGTCAAATATTATACCATTTCCATTATGAAATTTTCATTCGATATACTTCAAACATTTGTTACTGTTTGATAATGTATTATCACACAGGAGTTTAAGTATGATATCAACTACTTGAAGTCAAATCTTTCACAACAACATAGTTGGATGACTGTCAAAAATTGAAAATATTATTTCAAAAGAAACACCTCATGGTGGTTCGAGTAGTTTAGAAGAAGCATTGGGTGGTTTTCCACACATCCTCCAACAAGTTCAAAGGTAAATACATTTCATCCTCGTGGGTGGAAATTGAAAATTAGATTTCTGTCAAATAGATTATTCTCAAAAAATGAGTGCAGGGTATCTAATTACTGTATTAATTTACCATCAAATTATTTATCATTTTGATTTTTAAATATATATTAATATTATTGATCTCTACTCCATTGTGATAATGTTGCAGAAACAATCATGTTAAAAAAGATTATACACAATTATTGACATGATTGAATGATTTTTTTAAAGCTCTGATTACCTGAATTTGGTGTGAAACTATGCCAGCAGTTGTCCACAACTGCGACTGCAATAGCTACAAACATAGTAGTACTCAAGTAAAGAATAGACCAAGAGATTAAGACCATACAATGTTGCTTGTTTATTAAATTAGAATTTCATAATACAATATTCTAGACCCTCTTATGCCAATAACTATTTCTAAATGTAAACTTTTTACAGTTTAAATAGAGAAAAGCCATTCAACACGCCGGCAAAGGCATGCTGAGGAGGATTAAGAAATGCTTTCCTAGCCGGAAGGTGGGTGGAACATACTTTGTTACAAGTCCCTCCAGCTCAAGCATGCAGAGCCGTGTGACATTCTTTTCTTTTTTCCTTCTTTCTTAGCAGATTGAGTGGATCAGTGTCATGTTAGCATTCAAACACAATATAAGCGAAGTGGGGGACCGGGTTGAGATTAAGTTAGTCTGATAAAGTTATCATGTGCGGGGATTTTACACATCATTATTAAGGTCACAACTATATGCAGCTAACATCATTACAACACTGTTAAGCCAAGCATTATTGTTCAATATCACTTAATTTATGGACTTTTGGATTCTCTTATTGTCTGTCTTGTAAGTTGTATAACCTCTTTTTGATATGATCATCTGTCCACGCTCATTTACTTTTCTGCTTTCTTTTCCAACTTTTGATGATCCTCAACCTTCTTCTTATGAAGATTCTCACACTTGTTACTCGTTTGAGTTTGGAATGAATGACACTAGAAGTAATGAAGTATACTCATGCATCGCTTAACTTTTCTTCACCATGTTTGTTAATTCAGAAAAAAAGCAATACATGGTTGATAATATATTGTCACTTCATGTTTCAAGTCACAAATTCAGCATTGTTTTCACTCACTATATGAGTAAATATACACTCTACACAATCAAGAAAATGCTGCTGCCACACTGGCTTCAACTAGAACAAACATGGATGAGTTTGCATTTTAGAGTAAATTCAAATTTGCCCAAGGGAGGTGGAAATACACACCTTATTAAACATTAATTGAATGAAATTCCTATGTTGCTACCCTATTGGATTTTACTACTCTAAAGTACATCTAAGTAATAATCATCATGTACTTGAACCACACTAGTTAAGATGTTATAGGTCATTAATTCTTGGAAATCAAATGAGAAGCTTAGAGTTTTATAACTCATTAAATTATAATAAATTAACTGTGGGCTCATGGAAGCGGCAAATCATTGTGTGAAATAATGGATCATGTAATCGATCACCAGGCGAACATGGCTGTGTGTGGGGAACCACAAGCAGAAAGCTAGTTGTGCTAATGTTTATCTATCGGCACTTATGATTCAGGGGGTTGTGCTTTATCCTCTGTAGGAACCATAAATTTCTAAAAGTTAAACTAAAATAAATCAAAAATAAATTTTCATTTGCTACAATTATTTATACAATTTTATAAAAAGTGAGACTGTGTTTTTTCATCAGTTACTTATTCAGTTTATGCAGGACAGGACTTATCCATGTATGGAAAAAATCTACACCAATTGGATGGGTTAAATTTATTAATCATAAAAAAATTAGTACAATATTACACGAATACTTATAGGATGAACAAAATAAATTTATTAATCTATACGAGAAACAAAAAAAATAGCATATTTTATAATTATGTATGAAAAATAATAATATTGTGATTTTATCACAACAATATTACATTTCTTAATATTGTGATTATCTGCGGTGAAATGCCTTTTTCCAATAAACTTTTTTCGTCAATAGATCTGCAAAACTAAAATCAGACTCTTCATTTAAGAAATTCAATCCCGTATCACTACAACCAACATAGTACATGCTATTTAATATAGATTAGTAAGATTTACAGAAGTATTTGTCCTAATTCACCTATAAAAGAGGAAGCTTTAAAGGACTCTAAACACATACATTCAATACAACGCAGGATCGAATCAAATTGATTCAAGGGGCAAGATAACAACAGTATGGCATGTTGCCGCAATTTGAAGAACGCTGCGATAGCATTTTTGGTTCCTCTTCCCTCCATCTTCTTCTACCTCACATTCCTCAACCACTACGACTCACCAAATTCCCCATCACTTTGGTCAACTCTGTGGTCATGGTGCTATCACCACCCTCTTCTATTAGCCAACGCTCTCTTCTTCCTTAACGTCAATGTTCTCTTCTGGGTCATAGGCGTAATCCAATCCAGCCACTGGGTACACTCAAAGCCCCCACTTTTTTTTTTCTTCGTCTACATTCACCCACTTTCACTCCCTTCAAAGTTGACGTTTTTGCTGTTGTTGATGATGCAGATGATTGACCCCTATTGGACTGTGATACCTGTGATGCTTGTTCACTACTATGCCACTCACCCGTTGGGCCACTATGATTTGTGGAGGTCTAGGATAGTGGTTTTATTGACTTGGGTGTGGAGTGTGAGGCTTACTCATAACTATTTCAGGAGAGAAGGGTGGCAATGGGGTGCCAGGGAAGACTGGCGTTTCACTGAGATGAGTCAACAGTATGGAAAGCAATGGTGGTGGATGTCTTTCTTTGCTGTCTATGTCTCCCAACAGGTAAACATTTCTCATTGCTATCTTTTTATTAATTGGTGTTGAAATGAAGGGAAAGGTTCATGGACACTCACATGCAAGTATACACCAAGAGAGAAAACTGTATGGTATAGGTGATATGATGTGATAAAAAGAAAAAAGATAGAAAAAAAAAAGAGGGTCCAAGAGGTGTTTTCACTATTAAGCTGTCTATGTAAAACTACTCTTAAATGAACCTAAGGAGATGGCTTGAATTTTATGTTAATGGGAAAATGTGAATCTTTACCTGACTTCACAGTTTGGAGCTGACGGTAGGAACCTGATCGAATTTTTATGTTGCCTTGTAATTTGAGACGATTTATTGCATTGTACAACAGGGGAAAATGATAGAATTCATTCATTATATAAGCATTGCTCTGTAAAATGTATTATAGAAATTTTTTTACTGCCAGTGGATGTAAGGTACATCAGCCAAACCACGTTAATTCCGTGTCTTTTCTCGTACTGTTTCATCCTTGTAATTATGTATAAGGTGTAATAGAACAACTTGAATCTGCTTTTTGAATTACATGTTAGGTTTTATGTTGTTTCAAACTTTAATTGAGTGTTTTTCTTTTCTATGTGATTCTTGTCTATGCAGATATTTTTGATTCCACTGTCCCTTCCCTTGTATGCCGTCCATACTGTCAATCAGCCATTGAGCATGTGGGACTTTGTGGCTTCTGTTGTCTGTTTATGTGGCATTCTGATAGCATACTTTGCTGATACACAGCTCTATGAGTTTATGAGTAGAAACAACAAGCTGAAGGGGCGTGGTAAACCCGTGGCTCCTGTCCTTGACAGTGGCTTGTGGTATTATTGCCGGCATCCGAATTACTTTGGTGAGCAGCTGTGGTGGTGGGGGCTAGTTGTGTTTGCATGGAACCTGGGACTTGGGTGGACCTTTATTGGAGCTTTAGTTAATACTTTGTGTTTGGCTTATGTGACTAAGCTTGTGGAGGACCGAATGATAAAAAAAGAAAGTAGAGCACAAGCGTTTGGGCTGTATCAAAAGACAACTTCTGTGTGGATACCTTGGTTCAAGTCCTCTCCTTCAGGAATTAAAAATAAGAATGCTTGATGTTTTCTTGGTGCAATGGTTATGGTTGCTTTTGTAAAATTATCATTTTGGTATCTTATGATTTTAGCGTTGTTCTTATCTATTTAATGATATCATAAATTGCACGTGTTCTATATGTATTTTGCTGTAATGTTGTATAAAATCGTAATGCATCTCCTACATTTGGAGTTATACTTCCTGAATCTGGCTTTTCAGTTTCAAAATGTCTCTGATAGTGTATTTGGCTGTTGATAGACATTCAGTGGCCCTTTTATTTAGGCTTCTTTCTGTTCACAGGGAAAGCCTGGGGCATTCAAGAAATATTTTACAGTTATTGGTTTGACCATTGAGCCATAACAGTGTTTCTACCAGTTCACTGACTTGTGTTGTCTAATTCTAAAAATATTGCTGTTTCAGATCATGATTTCATATTATAAAATTGTGCCATCAATTTAGAGGCTATGTATTAGTTGCAAATTGATATCCAGTAAATGTATATATCCCTAACCTTCAATTGCCATGAATCGTAAGTGCTCCAATAGATACAGAAGTTAAAGAAGTAGAAAATACCACCATGTAGTGTGGGAAAGAGATATAATGGCAATTCATTTAGAACTTTTGGATGCCTCCAGGTAAGCAATGTGGATTGCCATGACCCCTTTACTTTAGACCTTTAACCAAAATACATCTGTCAAAAACTTTGGTTTGAGATTCTGAAACATGTATAGGAGAAATGTTTGCTCAGGCTACTCCTACGTTTGTGCTGACACAAGTTATTTGCCCATTCCATGATGGTAAAGGGCTCTTTATAATATTTTCAATCAAGAGCTGAAATTAGAGTTTTGTTTTCATAGTTAAGTGATTCGATGAGGCATATCTTGGGATTAGACTTGAATAGTAAACTCTTTTCAGTGTTAAGCTCTGACTAGATTTTTTTTCCTCTTTAGTTTTCTTTGTAACTTGGGTATCTTTGGCCACTAACTTTTGGGAAACAAGTTTGAGATATATTTAGAGGATCCATCCGGAGGAATGTTCTGGGCTGGATCTACACCAAGTACACTTAATAACCATCAAGCCTCTTCTTCCTACACCCCAAAAATCTCAGCCAACAACACCCCTTGTAAATTCCAGATTAGATAATCTTGAATATAAAACTTTCAATTCCGGATTAACCTTTTAGTAATAAAAATAGTTGTTGATTGAGATTTTTGGAGTACAGGAAGGATAAACCTGACCCCATCGATCCAAAAAAACAAATAAGCCCATCTATTGTGTTTGGATATCTGTTAAAATTATAATGAAGAGAAAATTATACTTTCCAATGTACAGATGGAATAAGTAATGTGAGTGTTAGATTGAGTTGAAAGTGAGTCGAGTTGGATATAACTCAAATTCAAATACGCACTAGGTATATCCTACACTCGTACCACATCATAGCAGAGAATCGAAGGATTGAAATGATCACATACATTCAACGATGAAAACTGAACATTGGAAGGTACACTTTGTTCTCAAATTTTTGTCATCTCTTTATTATGCTCTTATTGATTTGGGTGTTAGAGTCTTATTTGCTACCACCATTTATTTGGTTGTCTAATGCTTAACAATTTGGGAAAGTTTCATATTTTCTATCTCAAGTACTGAAACATGGTTTATGTATCTCTTGAACAATTTTATTTAATATTAATGAATTTTAAGATGAAATTTCACGTTATGTCAGAATTTAGATCTTAAGATAACCGCCTATTCTATAGAAAACAAAAGTTTTTCTGTAGTATTTAAGATTACAATTCTATATTTGAGTGTGAAATATAATGTAATTGATTTCGAAGACCCGGTACAATGATGGTTTTCTGGTGTTCGTTCATTCTTAAAGAAAATTGGAGAATTTTAAAATCAAATCTATCATTTTTAGTGTTTTTTCATGATAACATTTAATCTCAGTAAATTTCTTGGCAGCCTCGGCATTTCAAATTGCCATGCTGTTGAATATTTATTTATTCTCACAATAATAGTCCCACAGTCTCCAGTTCAAATACAACTCCTTGGTTTCTTGATCCATCATCAAGAAAACATGGAGTGGACAATTGGTTTTATCTGCAGTTCTTTAATTTTTTTGACCTTGACATACATGGAAACACTCTTGGACATCCTTTTTTCAACACGCTTTATTGTTTGATGAACTATGTGCAGATATTTAGTAAATTGCGTGTGTTGGAAATATAGTATTGGTAACATTTTTCTATCCTAAATGGGAGAAAATTTTGATAAAGTAGTGTGGAATTTGGAACTGGTGATCTTAGTGCCTCGTGGGCATGTTCCATTCATGTGCTGTGATGCGCCGTAGAATTTCTTCTTTCTATTTTTCCACCATCATGAGTGGCTAATCTTCTTCGGACTTGGAGTTATGACTCCTCATAATTTTGTAGTAATTTATTATTTTGGTTCTCCAAATATAATGAATATTTAATATATTTACTTGTATATTTACAATTTTATCTTTTCAGTCCTTCCTTAGTTTTGTAACTCTTATATAATTAATGATTTTATTTTTCTCAAACTTAATTATTATTAAATATATTTAAGTATATATCTATAATTTTATCTTTTCACCATTTCATATTTTTTCTTTTTTTTATATTTATTTATTATTTATTAATAATATATTATTTGATCAAGATTCCGCCACCCACCATCATGGTATGCCTTCAAAGTTCAAAGGAACGAAATACCAGTAACAAAGTCTTGGTCTTGGCGTCCTGTTTTTTCCACACGCTGTATTATTTGGCGAACTTGGTGCAGAAATTAGAAAATTGTTAGTAAACTATAGTGCATCATGGGCATGTTGCATGCTTGTGAAAAATTTGATGCACATGTAGAAAGTTCCCCCCTTGCCAATACTATGGTGTGCCTCCCCAGAAACTGAACACCCCACTATCTGAAAATACAAGATTAGATTTTGAAATTACAAACAGTATTGAAGGGCACCCCCCCTAAGGTTAATAAAAGTGATATGTTAATAAAAATGACTTGTAACCAGTAGCCTGTTATTTGACTTTTGAGTAGAAGCCTTGAATTGTAGTGTTTTGCTTACTAGCTGAAAAGAGGATGATGTATCATGGGCTGAACAGTGACAAGACTGGAAAGTGAAAAAATAATTGGAGATATCCCAAATTCCTACAATGTGAGGAAAATTAACAGCTATTATCAGGACTGGACCATTTACTTTTTTTCAATTTTTAAAAGCGACTCATAAGCTGAGGGGAGACCAATCGAAAATAGGTAAGGTTCTTAAGTGAGATTTTAATCAAGGTTTCAATTGGGGTACTTAAGAGTATAATTAATGATAATATAATTTAAGTTACATGTAAATATCAACTTTGAAACTGTTTTATTTGATTCCGAATCAGGGTTAAACAGTGAATGAATCCTGACCATAACTCTGAACACTGGTTGTCTTTTTTGTACTTACTTCCAGAAGACACGCATAGAGATGCATTCTTGTGAAGGTAAGTGAATATTATTAATGAATAAAATAAGATTACACTGACTAGGCCAAGAGACAAAACATAAAGCAATGGATGAGAAGAAAGATCCGTTTTCTAATGGACAATTTACATACTATTGGTGCTATATTTCAGTAGCAGATTTTAATTAAAAAACACTATTATCAACTAACTACAGTTCTGTTTGGCTTTTTCTGTCTTTTTTTTTTCTTCTTATGTGACCACTTGTATATTCAGACAAAATAAGAGGGAGAAAAAAAGTAAAAGGCCGAACCTTTATTTTGTTTTGGCATTGGCATGTGAAACATTGTGAATTGAGATCTCTTTCTGTACAGGTTTCACAGATAATAATTGCCGGAAGTGTTCAATGGCAACAATAAGGGTAAGAGAGGGTGACATATTCAATGCAATCTTAAAGATATAGTAAATGCCATACCATCTACTTTTCTACACATAGTAAATTCGTTTTATGGTCCAGGGTTGAATGGCTATAATTAGGTGAGTCACGTTAGATACCAGTAAATTTGATAACCTATGGATTAAATTCGAAGAAAAATCTTATCAATGAAGTTAATTAAGACATTAACTAGTACCAAAACAAATTAAGACTTTAACCATAGTGCTAGTGTTTTCGTCTGGTTGCTAAACCTCTAGTTTCTATGATGACATAACGTTCTTTATTTGTTTTCTTTTTTCTTTTTCTTCTGGAAGCAACTTATTATTGACCAGCCATCTAAAAAAGTGAATTTCATTATCTTGATATTTTTTCTAGTTCTCTGTTTCCTTCTCAACGTAAGTTTTCCATTTTTTAAAATAAAAAGAAATTCCCTCAGAGAATTACCAAATGGTCATGCACTACACATTTTCTGATGTCATGACTCTTGAATTTAGCACTGAGAATATCCTTTGGTAGTTGCCGGTTGGCCCATACTTAATTACTTGGTTCAATCAATCATACTAAGGTTATCATCAATCTGACAGTTAGACAAGGACATCCCCTAACAGTTGTTCCTCGTTCCTAGTTCACATAGTTACATACTCATGTTTTCAAGTTGTCTTCTTCCTATATTAAAAAACGAAGCCATGAAAAATATTAAACTTACTTTACTTTCCAAAAGTTGCCAAGCTCAAACCTATATATCTTCTTGCTATTACCCCACCAGGGGTAGTACAGGTACAAGTCGAGTTCTTGTTGGTGTTTGGCTCCTAGATGCCCGAAACAGTGATGATCTCAAGTAAAAGAAATGTTTTTGGCAGCAAGGGGAGAACGGGTTTGGATTTCATGATTTTGGTGGTAACAGGGTCATGGTTTTGTTTGACTGCTTTATGTGTCTCAGCTACAACACAAGCAGACCCCCCATCACCTCAAAAAAACCAAAAGCTAAGGTTTGGTCAAAATGGAGAATTCAAGATATTACAGGTGGCAGATATGCACTATGCAAATGGCAAGACCACACCTTGCTTGGATGTGCTCCCTTCTCAGAATTTTTCTTGCTCTGACCTCAATACCACTGTCTTTGTTAACAGAATGATCCAAGCTGAGAAGCCTAATCTTATTGTCTTCACTGGTAACTTTTCTTGTTTTTAATTATCATTTCATTCAATTTCTAATTGTTTTGACTTCTTAGCTTTCGTATTTCTTATTTTAAGACAACGACCTTTTTCCTTCGGTCTTTTGAGTGGAATGTTTCTACTTTCTGGCTAATAAAATATACCCTAGTTATTTGATAAGAAATCAAATACAAAGAGCATGTTGTTGTACTTACTTGCAGCTGGATGGAAATGAAATGAAACGAGTTAAAATTTTGTTTTTATAGCTTGCAGTTTATTTTTACGTTGATTAATCATCATTTGTACATCTAAGTCAAATAAGTTCCTTGATTAATGATATATGATATTAACCCATGGAGCATGTTTATTGTGCTGTAACAGGAGATAATATCTTTGGGTTTGATTGCTCGGATTCAGCTAAATCATTGGAGGCTGCATTTGCTCCTGCAATTGCATCAAACATTCCTTGGGTTGCTGTTTTAGGCAACCATGACCAGGAAGGAACCCTCTCTAGGGAAGGGGTGATGAAACATATTGTTGGGATGAAAAACACATTATCTAAATTCAATCCTCCAGAAGTACATATCATTGATGGTTTTGGGAACTATAACTTGGAGGTTGGAGGTGTTAAAGGCTCAGGTTTTGAAAATAAATCAGTGCTCAACCTGTACTTTCTTGATAGTGGAGATTATTCCAAAGTTTCTTCAATTTTTGGTTATGATTGGATCAAGCCCTCCCAGCAACTTTGGTTCCAACGAACATCTGCAAAGCTTAAGGTTCTTCATTTCCTATTTCATAAAAAATTAAATTCTACTACTTGTTCAACATTTCCAATACAAACCTTTGAAAGTAGGAACCGAAGTGAAAACTGTGACATACTAAAGCATAGAATGAAAACAAAACACTTTCTTCTTAATGGAAATTTTTGTGGATTCTCATCAAAATGTGGCTTATTTTTCAGTTTTTCATTGTTAATATTTTGGATTGACCACCTACTCTTTTATTCTGCAGAAAGCGTACCTAAGTGGACCAATGTCTCAGAAAGATGCTGCTCCTGGTCTTACTTATTTCCACATCCCACTACCAGAATATGCTAGTTTTGACTCATCAAACATGACAGGTGGGAAGCTGGAACCGGATGGCAATGGCATTAGTTCTCCTTCTGTGAACTCTGGCTTCTTCACAACCTTGGTTTCAGCAGGAGATGTGAAGGCAGTTTTCACTGGTCATGATCACCTCAATGACTTCTGCGGCAATCTTATGAATATACAACTTTGTTATGCTGGGGGATTTGGATACCATGCTTATGGAAAGGCGGGGTGGCCTAGGAGAGCAAGAGTGGTGGTAGCTAGCTTGGAGAAAACAGAGAAAGGAAGTTGGGGAGATGTCAAGTCAATTAAAACATGGAAACGACTTGATGATCAGCATCTTACTGGAATTGATGGTGAGGTCCTGTGGAGCAAGAGCTCTGGTGGTAAGATATCCTCTGATACTTGTAAGACTACTCTTGTTCTGCATAAACTGGATACAGAATGAAATAGAATTTGTGTTTAGATTTGTCTTAAAGGTGCCTGTTGATCATAAAGAAAATGAAAAATTAGGAAGAAGATGAAAGTAAAGAAGAAACATTGAAGTTTCATCTTTGCTTTTGGATGGACTGGATGGTGATGTGTTGGGGAGGGAAGAACCAAATTAACCATGTTTATGTAAAAGGAAGACCACAAATGTGATTTGAAGAGTGAAGTTTATGAATTGCAATGACATATAGGAATAGTTCAGCCAGGGTAGGATAAGAATTAAGCAATTGCTGTGGCATTGGAAAATATTCCTCTATATCTTCCTTGGAAGTTTTATATTCTATTACATAACAGAATATTACTGCAGAATATTTGTCAAAATGATGTGAGATCCATATTATATTCTAAGGAAAAGATAATCCCAAGCAGTAGTTAGTTACCTGTAGTGGTTGAAGAAATAAGGCATGTTTCCTATATATAAATAAGATGGAAGGTAAACAGATATATCTTCTCATTTGAAAGAAAATTTTGGACTTAACGTGGGAGGTGCAGTCGCTCAAAGAGCTGCTATGTGAGTGTTCTATTTAGCTAATAAGGAAGTTCATCCCTGTATTTCTGCAACAAAGATACCATGTTTCTACCACTTAGTAATGAGTATTTCATTTGAAATGAAATAGTCAAAATATCCAATGGGAGATGTTATGTGTGATTGAAGCTAGTAATTTATCAGAACAATGAAGAAAGATTTAGAAGTCAAAAATTTATCTACAAACATGATTTATGACGAAGTACTCATGTTATTTAATTTCATTGTTTTTTATTTGATCTATTGTTATTACATACTGGTTTTTCATTGCTATTTTTGATTTTCATTGCAGGTACTCAAGGATAAATACAAAAGTGTTTGAGAATTTGAAAATTATGCAGAAAGAGATAGTATCCACATGAGGCTATTTATCATGAAACTTGTAATAAGTTGCCATACGATAAATTTTATTCGCTAAAATTTGGAACTGAGAGATTTATTCTATACTGCAATAGAAATTGGATTGCTATTCTAAAATAGGAGTGGAAGGTTCATAAAGGAGGTGCAGTGTATTAAAAGAAAAAAATTAAAGATAAGAAGATTATTTTTTCTAACAAAGAGATAAGCATTCTAATTAATAAATGGATTAAAATAAATAAATTATAAGTATAAATAAGAGATATCGGGTGAAAAAAATTGGAAAAGAGAAAAAAATAAGAGAGAAAAAGAAAAAAAATATATGAACAATATTTTTACTCCAAATTATAATTATAATTATTTATTGAGGTAATTTTAATATTATTTATTTATTTATATTTAATTTATTTATAATTATATATTATTTTTTTCTATTTATCTTTAGTTATGTTTTAACGTTCTTTATTTATTAATTTATTTTCAGATTTTTTTATTAATTTATATTTATATTATTTAATTTATTTTTAATTATGTATTATCTTAGTTAATTATTTATATTTATTTAATTTATTTTTAACTATATAATGACCTTATTTATTTATTTTTATATTGTTTATTTTATTTTTAATTAGACAATAATTATTTTTAATAATTTATATTTATATTATTTAATTTATCTTTAAATTTTTTATAACAAATATTTTTTTTATGAAGATTTGATGAAATTATAATGGGAAATTTGATATTTGAATTTAAATAAGTAAATATTATTAAAAAATAAATTATTTTGGGTTTATTTATTATGACAAGATATTTTAAAATTAATTTAAATTTTTTTAATATAAAATAAAATATGTTGATGAAATTGAATAGGTAATTATATATTAGTTTGATATGATATTATTTTATATAATATTTGTTTTCATTTTCTTATTTTATATTTTATACATAATAAACCTAAAAATATCAATTTAAAGAAATGGGAACATCAAACTTTTCAGACTTTCTCTAAAATCATCACAATATTTTTTAGGAATAAACTGAAATATGAATATTATTGATAATTACTTTATTTTTAAATGAAGGTACCTATCAATATTAATATTTGTTTTTTATATTGAAACTTTGATAGTCATGGAAAAATCATAATGATTATTTTATGTTTATCACTTATTATCCACCTTAACTCTTTGAACAACGTGTTCTCTTTAACCATGTAATATGTTATTTATTATAGATAGTAAATGAAAAAAAAAGTAATTACTATTAATCTCTCCAGCATAATTGAAATTTTCATATAATAAACAAATATTAATGGTAATTGGTTTGTTCCTTTAAAATTGACTAATATTATCAATAATATTTGGTTTTTAGCTAAATCTTAACAAAAAAAATTGTGACTTGAAAGAGTTTATAAAGTTTGATGTCTCCATTTTATTTAAGTAGATATTTTTAGGTTTATCGGACAAATAGGAAAATAAGAACCAACACCATATAAAATAATATCATATTATCAATATATTTTATTTTATATTAAAACATTGAATTAAATTTATAATAACTAGTGAGAGAAATAAGTACAAAATATATTCACTCTTCAAATCTCTAAGATTCAATCTCTATGTAATGTTATAAAATCTTAAAAAATATATTTAAAAAAATTAAATAATATAAATATAAATTAATAAATAATTAATGTCTAATTAAAGATAAAATATAAATAATATAATTAAATAATAAAGACCAATATAAAAATAAGTTAAATAAATATAAAAGTGATTAATACACAACTAGAAATTAAATAATATAAATGAAAATAATAAATACGTAATTGTAAATAAATTAATAAATGAAAAGAATTAAGATATAACTGAAAAAAAGACTAATACATAATAAAAATAAATCAAATATAAATAAAGAAATAAAATAAGATTAAGAATATCTTAATAAATAATTATAATTATAAAATAAATAAATAAAATAAAATAACTAATTTTTTTCATAATAGTTATATTTATAATTAAAATAAATAAGATGATAGAAGTGTCAGTTACCTTAATAAGTATGGCAGATATATTGAAATTAGACTAATTGCTTTTTTTCTCTCTCTTGTTTTATTTCTCACTTTTTCTCTCTTCTTTTCCTTCTCTCATCCCTACTCTTCTCTATTTCTTTCTTTCTTCGCTTACCCATTTTTTCACTCCGCAACTCTTATTTATAGTTACAATTTGATTTTGATTTTTCTTTTTTCTTTTTTGAATTCATTCATTAATTACAATGCATATCTCTTTGTACGAACGAAGAGATAAGTTTCATATCTTTATTAATATATTTTTTTTTTATAAATAATTTGGTCTCTTAAGGTGTTACACCGTGGAATTGCATCTATCCAGGTTCGTACCAACTTGTAGAATCATGCCATTAATTCGACCGTTTTATCTATGGTCTTGTAATAAGCAGCGATTTTTTTTGTTATCTTGGTATAAGGATAAAAAAAAAAACACAAGACTACAAAAGGGTTTTTTCTTTAGTTATCATAAAAAAAATTCCGCCTTAATTTGCAATTAAAATTGGAGGCAAGATAAACTATATCAGACTGTCTTCAAGACTCAAGCTTTACCGTCATGTATCTATAATGTGCCCTATATTGGGAAATTAATGTGGGTTGCTTTCAAAACTTTAGGTCTAATTCACTTTCATCTTTTAAACATTCCACCTTTTGTACTCTTAATATAAGCATTGCATGATGTTAAAAGTGGTTCTCAGGGAGATAAAAATGGTTGTGTACTTGGTAAAGTTATTATGAAGTTTTCAGGGCTAAGTTTCAGTGTCCAATAAAAAGGGGATAAAAATGAAATTATATGCTTAATTTTCACATATTTTTCAGTGCATTTTCTCTTTATGGTTATGAGATAAATAAAACTATTAAGAACATTGATTTTTAGGAAGTGCGAAATGAAGATTTAGCAGCTTAACAAGGACCATCTAATGTCCCGTGCTAGTTACCAGCAGACAGTGTTACAGTCCTAGTATCATCCATGCAAAAATTGTGATTACTTCCTGAATTTACATTAAATGCATCTAAAATTAAATAGGTATTTGTACACTGAATCATCAATCTGTGAATGATAATAGAAGTAGCCATTTTACAAGCTTTCACCAACATAAACACTCCCCCGTAAAGACATTTAAGCCTTACAACTTAGTTAAAAAGGTTTGCCAATGTTTCCAACTCTTCTCACTTGGGAGTAAAAGCCTGTAGCAATAACAGATAAAGTCAGCACAAACAATTCTACATTCATAGCAATAAATGGACAAAACTCTAATTTTGTTAGGAAATCACCACCAAAACTCTAATTTCCATAATAAATTAGTCAAGTTAGACAAGATCTAGTTGTTGAGTGAACTTACAGCAAAAATAGTAGCATGGCCTGGATCTGCAAGGTGAGCAAAGAGGTTGTCAATAGGACCAGTCCCAGTGTATATGTGCTGGAACCATGCACCCATCACAGCCAACATGGCCAACCTCCCATTCTTGATCTCCTTTGTTCTCAACTCCTTGATCTTCTCAGGAGAACCACTTCCCCAGCCAAGTGGATCAAACCAAAGCCCACCTGGGTACCCAACATCAGTTCCTGTGAGCTTGTTGTTGGGAAAGATGGGATCAGTGTTGACACTGCCGGGCTTGATGATGTCAGCCCACCTTCTACCCTCAGCCCACCCAATGAAAAAGAGCTCAACTATGAAGAGTGTCGTAGTATCTGTGAAGTACTCCAACTCTCCAGCAGTGTACCATGAAGGGGTGTTAAGGACACCAATCTTTGTGAGGAATTCTGGGATGAAAATGCCAGCAGCACCCAACATGGCCCATCTGCAATGCACAAGCTCTGCCTGAACATTCCACCTCAGGCTCTCAGGATCAGATCCTGCCGAACCACAACATAATTTTGTGGTCACTCACTTGAATTCTCAAGAAGGAATGTCATGATGCACAGATACAACAGGTACTAATCTAATACAGCAATGCATTATTCTAAAACTATAGAAGATACAGAATGTGTAAATATATATCTCTACATATGTATAGAAGTTCAAGAAGCGTAATAAATATATAATTGCAATTCTATACATCCAGATTATTAGGAACATTTTTCTTTGACATTGCTAAAAACAAATTATAAATCCTTATCATCATAGATCATTTTGTTTTTTCTACAAATGGAAATAGTACTAATCGCATCATCCCTTTCTACACATCATCCACAAAGAGGACAGTTTCCATTTTTTGTTTCATTAAGCGATGACCAGGCTTCTATGTCTCAAGTTTTAATAATTTTCTGAAGGCTTTGGATAATTTAAAGAGCTTTGAAGTATCCATATGGGCATGTGAAACAAATGAGAGTATTAGTGCTTCATAGGTATAATCAGTACTGCTTGAGCTTATTCAGTGACAGAAAATTTGAACAGTGATGATAGCTTACCAAGACCGAGAGGATCAAACCCAAAATCTCCTGGCAAACTGCCATCTAGCCATGGAGGAGGGGTGCTTCCGGGAAACCACAGAGGTCTATCAGGGTCAGCAACTGCACACACAGTAGTGCTGGATCGTGCTCCAACTGGGGCTGTAAAACTGTTCACCTTCAGTTTCCTCCCACTGAGGAAAGAAGCTTTTGTGGTTCCCAAGAGTGATCCATTCTTCTGGGAACTGCATGCAATTCCATTATTCTTTTAAATGTTGTTAAGTAACCAGTACTAAGTTGAATTTCAATGACTGGTAAAGCTAAGGATCACATAAGTATATACATTAATCGAATCAGATGTTTCCAATTTTTCATCAATTTGACAATGCATGAAACATTTCACGTAACTATCAGAAGTAGTAATAATGCATATGGGCGCGTGGAAATTGTGAACTTGCCTTGGAGTGGAGATGGCAACAGCTGCAATGGCAGAGGAAGCACAAGAGGAAGCCATGAGAGGCTTTCACCAGGAGAGATGAAGTGTGAGCTTAGTGAGTTTTTGTGTTGTGGTGTTGCGTGTGCGTGATTAAATGCTGAGTGGGAAGAGAATGCAATTTTGTTAAATGTTCTTATCTCAAAGGATAGGAGTGTGAACCAGAAATTAGATGGTGAGTTGCCACGTAGCGTGCAGAATCTCCTAGGATAGGTTTTCTTGCAAAAATCAGAAATTGGTGGTTCACATTTTCAGACCAAGAAACCAAGTATTTGTGGCATACATTGCCTTGCCACTGCCACAACAAGACAGATTCTTCCATGTTGTTCACTGTGTCTTTACTCCACACCACACCAATGACCATTGAGTGGGAATCATTGACCTTATTAGGTAGATGTACTAACAAATGAAAATGTAAATTACAATAATATTATTCAAAAAATCTCTATTAGAGACATTATATCCAACTACAATTCATTTGCAATGCATAATCAATTAGGACTAAGACATAATTGAAAAAAAAATGTATTTAGAAATCATTGATTGTGTTGGGATGATATTAAGAAATGAAAAAAAAAGAGAGATAAAAATAAAATAAAAAATAATTATATTTTTTCCTATTGATATAAATTAAGATCTAAAACAAATCATAGTGTTTTTCACATATGAGAATGCATGTAATACAGTTAGTAAAATATGAATACAATATTAGTTGTGATTTGATATAATATTTTTTAGGTCTAAGTTGGAAGACACTAAATCTATTATTTTGTATTATTTTATAGAATTGAACGTAATATTTTGGAAAAACTGAGAAAAGGCTATTGGATTCAGTTATAAACAAAAATAAAATAAGAATCAAATTTGTGAAGTTTACATGACTGATGATAAAAACAACATAATTTAAAAACATTACACTTGTATTTAATAAAACAGGCCCTTGTGATGATGTAAAATAAATAGAAATATAAGTGCAATTTAGAGAATTTCACTGTGTAATTATAATTGACTGTACATTAAAAAAACTAATTATAATATGTACAATAATATAAATTAATATTAATAAATTATAAAGAAATAACAGATTATTCTTTAATACTCATGTTATCATCATAATTTAAATTTATATATAGAGAGAAGAGGGGAAAGAAAGTCCTGTCTATTAAACTAGTCCTAAATTTTAAACATTAATTTTATTTTATTTTCAATTAATAAAATTTAAGAATATTAAAGAGTAAAATAAAAATAGAATATTAAATTTACATATTTTTTAATAATCAATTATGATTAGAATCTATTATTTATTTAAATTAGTTTGATGAAAAAATAGTTTAAAAGATTAATTTCGTTTTAATATAAAGGAATATGTTTTTACAAAAACTTATAATTCTTTTTTGTTTTACTTTCTTTATTTTTAACTATTTGTTTAAACTTACCTGATCTTTTTGTTTAATTATGTTAAATTAATGAATTATTTCAATCTATTTTAGAAAATAAAAATAAATGAAAAAAATAAAAGAAAAATATATTTTTAAAAATTTGAAATTATATTAACAAAATAAATTTAATTTTATATTATATATAACATATTTTAAAAAACTATAATGACTACCAGAAGTACATGACGATCATCTCATTTAAATGAATTAAAATTTAATATTTATACTAGAATTAATTTTGATTATATATTTATAAATAAAATATAAATAATATTATTATTAATTTATATGATCTTATTTAATATATGAAAATAATAACTTAATTAAATAATAATTTACGTTGTTATATATTTTAATTATATAAAAATCATATTAAAAATGAAATATTATGTTACATATTATTAAAAATTATGAGTAGTTTTAGTTGAGAGATGTTATGTACTATAATAAAGAATATATCGTGAAAACAAAAATCGATTATAACTTATGTTTTTTAAACAATTAAATTATTTTTATTTGATAAAGGATAAATAAAAAAGATGACGTTGATTAAAAAAAAGAATTTTTATTATGTAATTATATATATATATATATATATATATATATATATATATATATATTATTTTAATAAAATAAATTTACTCATTTAAGCCTTTAGATAAACAAACCCTATAAAAAAAAATCCAATTTAATTTTCTTCAAAACAATTTGAGTGAATTGGGCTTTACATTATTTGACACTTTTTTTTCCTATCTGTCTGTATTCGAATTGTTCAGGAGATTTGGTTAAACCCTGCCCATCCTCGCCCTTTACTCGGCGCTTCGAAAACCCTAACCTCGCGTTCCAATGGGGGGAAAGAGGAAGAAGAATGACGATTCAGATGTGGAAGAATCAAAGGCAGTGTCTTCGAACAAGAAGACACGAACGACGGAGAAGAAGGACCAACTACGTCCTTCTATGATAAAGAACAAGGAGAAGAGATCGGAGGTGCACGCGAAGCTGAAGCACCAGAAGAAGCTCGATAAACGCGCTAAGGCTAAAACTCGTGACGCTGCTCTCAAGAGAGCTCTCGAGCTCGGTGAAGAGGTACTTCGTCAGTTTTACGAATGTCAATCCTCTTTTTGTGTGTATGTGTTCGATATGTAACAGTAACAATAACAACTTTTAATGTTTCTGCAGCTTCCGGAGAAGAAGGTCCCTCGTACAATTGAGAACACCAGGGAATTTGACGAGACGGTTTGCAAGCCCGGTGACGAAGAAGAGGTTCTGAACTTTGACTATTCGGATACATTTGGATTTGTGCTTCATGATTGGGAAATTTGTCTAACTTGTATTATATTATTCGTAGTTTTGATGCGTTTATTAGATTGAACTGGATTAGATTTTTTAATGTTTGATGCTAATACCATTTTTTCTGAGAATCACGGATGAGCTTGATTGCGCCAATCTAAGTTGAAACAGATCAATCTGATTTTGATAGTAGTATACTGACAACAGGAGTGGGGATTTGAGGGGGAAAAAGTAGGGGGGAACAAGAAAATATAGTAAACTATGGAATTCAGTCAATTTGCAAATGGAATAAAGTCATTTTTGAGTGGTTGACTTGTTTTTGACGAGGGGCTTGTGTTTGCTATTTTGAATTTGCACGCAATGCTGCTGTTGTTCAAACTTCAAGTATGGTTAATTATTTCTGTTGACTAATGACTTATAGTTGGTTTGCAGTTGTTCGCTGGAAATGATGCTGATGAATTCAGTTCAATTTTGCATAAGCAATATACTCCCAAGATATTAATCACCACTTGCCGCTTCCATTCTACCGTATGTTTGTAATCTAACATAAATGCTCTTTACTCCTTAGTTTCTTTTAGGAGTAGAATATCATCAAGATCATATCTTCTTAATTATGTAGCTTGTTTCTGACTTTTGTCTTCTTAATTGCATAAGTTGTTTCTGACTTTTGACTGAGACAAATTGATCTGCAGAGAGGACCTGCATTTATATCAGAGTTGCTTTCTGTTATACCAAATGCTCATTACTATAAGAGAGGAACATATGATCTGAAGAAGGTGTTGTATTTCGAACTGTCTCTTCATGTTTGGGGAAGCATTGAACATTAGAACTTGTTTGAGCATTTTTTTCTAATTTCATTTTTTTAATTACAGATTGTAGAATATGCAAAGAATAAAGAATTCACTTCTATTATAGTTGTTCACACCAATCGTAGGGAACCTGGTAAGAGTGGTGCTTTCCAGTGAAGATTCTATCTATATATTTATAAGTTCAAAGATTGTTTTTACGATATGTTTGTGTCTTTCTCCTTTAGATTTCAAGGCAACATGGCCCTACATAATTCTTTGCTCCTATTTGTTGCAGATGCTCTTTTAATAATTGGCGTACCTAATGGGCCCACTGTTCATTTCAAGCTGTCAAAACTTGTTTTGCGCCAGGATATCAAGGTATGGAATGATCTGCTTAGTTTAGTTTAAATTTTGAGGTAGATAAATAAAAGAAAATCTTTGAAATCTTAATGGAGCGAGAAAGAAATTTTGTTGTGACTTGTCAAGTGTAGTGCTCATTGATTAAACTTACCTTTAGTCTCCTTTATTATTTGCATAGTGGTCATCCTAAGAAACAAATTCGTATAGAGATAACTTGTGTTGGCAATATCAGATGAGATCTATTTTATAATTCAATATGTATCAACAGGATTGGTAGTCAATTTTATTTGTGTTGAGATTAAGCATATTTCTTTCTGTTAACAAAAAAATGATTTAAATTTTTATTGCATGCATTTGTGTCCCCTTGCAGAATCATGGAACTCCAACCAGTCACAAGCCTGAGCTTGTACTGAATAACTTCACAACACGGCTAGGGCATCGAGTTGGAAGGTGATTACGTTCTCTTATTCTATCTCTCATCTGATTTTCTTTTATATAATTTTGCTTTATTCAAATGTGAGAAATACTTTTTTTGTATATCCTGCCAGTTACATTAATATCAATATTGTGCAAATAGCCAAAAAGGAATCTAAGACTTTCTTTCCTGTTTTGCTAATATATTTTGTAATCAAAAAATTATTTGTATAATCAAAATACATACCATAGATATTTATATCATTTACATGAACATAATAATTCAAAATATAAACTCCCTTCTCATAGAGAGTTTTATAGATACATTTAAAAATATTTAAAATCCTATTAGTTTAAGGCTACACTTGTTGAGGTCTAACAACATATCTATTCCCATGTAAACACACGATCATCACAATTTAAAATAACATGCAAAACACTTAGGATAAACTAGGAATTCAAAATAAACATATCAAATTTGAATTTGTTATAAAACAACAGTTATATGCATTTCCACATATATTAATACTATACAAATCCATTCTAGAGTTAATACATCATCCCATGTCCATAGAGATCAACTATCACATCTCTCAGACATTAATACATCACATCACTCTCATACATGTCTACTATCACGTCACAGATTCTAAACTACTTTTGTAAGACTAGATATTGGATTAGATATTAAAGATCTGCATTTGTTACACCACAACTTCCCAAGTGTTGAATACAAGGATACTCAATATGGTATATACACTCATGTATGACTAGGAGAAATATTTAAATAACTTAAGAAGACACGGATCGTTTTTACATTGAGTGCTAAGTCATTAGAAATCTCCTTTTAACTCTTATCACCTAATCCTTTCATTTTAGATTAGTAGAATCAAGTTATTTTTGTGAGTCCTAAATCAATATCCCTACAAACTACACATTTCATGTTCATAACATATTTTTTTGCCATATACATGAGAATATCCCTTGATAATTCTCAAATTACAGCACTATTTTTTGATGCACACAATCACATTCAACATCTCATTTCATGTTCATAACATATATTCTCACTTCCTAAGTCATATATATATATATATATATATCAAATACATCAAAGTAACTATTTTATACTTCCAATTTCCTACATTTTTTAGGCTTCGACATAGGGACTTTTCGCTTGAGCTAAAATCCTCTAAAAATCCTGATTCCTTTTGGACCATTTCACTTGAGGGAAATAATTTTGCAAGGAGTCCTTTTGCTAGAGCAAAGCTATAATAGAAAAAAGCCTCACCTTACTAGGAGTTTTTCGCTTGAGCAAAAACGAAGTTGAGGCAAGTCTCTCACCTCTAGAAGCCATCTTTGCTTGAGGGAAAATTTCCTTGCTTGGGCAAAAATACTCCCAAAAGAAGCCCTTGCCTCTGTTACACATTTGCTTATGCAAAATATGTAGAAACCTGCAAGCACATATCAAACCAGTTTTTAGGCACTAAATAATTCGTTGAGACTATTACACAATTTCCTTCTACGTCATGGTATACCTAGTCCAAAAATAGTTATTTTTTCCTAACATTCCACATGCATCATTTTAGGTATCATTACTCTAAATCAACTCATACTAAAACTTAATTACAATTAACACACAATAAACACATATAATTACATAATTAATTTTCTACAATTTAGACAATGTTACAAAGTCGTTCTACAATTTCCACTCCCAATGGAAAACCCCAAAAACTCCCGAATCTATGAGAAGCCAAATCCTACTCACGGAAAAGTCTCATCAAGAAATTGAATATACCATAATGTTTTTAAACTAAGTCAAGATTTATCTTTACTCAGACAAAACCTACATGCATGCATTATGGGTCTCACATGCAAGCCCCTCAATTTTAAATGTAAATGTTTTGAAAATGGGCAAACAAAAATTTACTCTATTAGAAATTTTGATTAGTTAGAAATGTTTTACTCTACTCTGAGTACTATGGTGTGTTTAGATCTAGAAAAGAAAATGAGAGATGGAGTGAGAAACCTAGAGAGAAGTGAGAGGAGAGAATTTTTAAAGATAGTGGTTTTGTGAAAATGAAGTTTTGAATAGTTAATTTCTATTTATAATGTTTTTAACTTAACCGTAAAACTTCAAATTTTATCTCACTAAATTACTTTTATTCTTAACCTACTTTAACTAGGTCCTTATCATACCTCTTCTGCTTCCAGTTTCAATATATAATGGTTTGCGTAAGCATTGAACTTAACTTTGTTATTGGTTGATCTTGTTGATTTTTTTAATAGGTTGATACAGTCACTTTTTCCACAAGATCCAGAATTTAAAGGCCGACGAGTAGTCACCTTCCACAACCAGAGAGATTTTATCTTCTTCCGGCATCATCGGTATATACCTGTAAAACTTGTAATATTGTCATTTGCTTCAAAATATTAGTAATTTTCATTTTTTTGATGTTATATTTAACCAACCATATTAGATATATTTTTGAAAACAAAGAAGTTAAAAAACCCGAGTCAAGGGATAAAAAAGACAAAGATGGCAAGAACGAGAATGTTACTGAACAGACAACAATTGCCCGTCTTCAGGTTGGTGTTGACTTCTTTATTTACTTACATGTGAACTGTATACTGTTAATCATGAATATGAATATGTTATGGGAAGCATAGTTGTCTACATTTTACTTTCACAATGTGAAATGGGTATGATTTTTTTGGACTATATAAATTCTTCAATACTTCAGTATTCGATCAAGTTGTATATTCTTCATTTAAACGCAGGAGTGTGGTCCTCGTTTCACGTTGAAGTTAATTAGCCTGCAACATGGAACGTTTGACACTAAGGGCGGGGAATATGAGTGGGTTCATAAGGTAATTTTGTTCGCTAACAATCCGCTTTTCCAATATTTTGTCTCATATCGTGAAACATTTTGTCCTGTTCACTTAACTCTAGCTTGTCATTTTATTTTCTTCAGCTCTACCTGTTTCCGTTTTCATTTTATTTTCTTTCTGTCTCTTTCTTCTACTCTTATAGGCGGAAATGGACACAAGCCGAAGAAGGTTTTTCCTATGATTTTTTTAGGAACGTTGCATTTGGACATCATTTTTTTTTTTTGGGATAGGTTTTATCCTGCGAGAAGAGGGATAGTGTATCATTTCCTTATTTAATTTTGTTTTGGGTAGCAGTGAACAATTTTGGCCCTAACATGTATTGGGAAAGAGATTACAAATTTCAGATATCTTGTAAGCAATATATATAATTTGTTAACTTGATATGGAATGATTTTATAGCTAACTGTTTCTTTTTATGTAACGGTTTCAAATTTTGTTCACTGTGTTGCTATTGTGAATTGGTATTCTGAGATTACCGAAATAAGAGAATTGATTCCACATGACGACCTGAACTTGGTCATTATTAGCATGTAACGTTCTGGCCTGCCGCCCAAAGGAAAATTCTCTCTAGGATGACTTTTTAACTCACGAAGACCGAATTACAAATGTTCATCATTCACCAATGATTTTCGGCAATGGCTAATGTTTTAATTTTTAATGTGGTATAAAACACGTGGTTCGTATAAAGCTTGCGCTTAGTTGTGTTAGTATAATAAATTTAGTGACACTCTCAAACATGTCAAGGGTAATTTTTGGATTACTCATATTTTCTTCATTCTAACCATATTAACTTAACTCAACCTACGCCGTTATTCCCAAACGTAACTCTTTCATGCTAAAACAGCCATCCAAACATACTTCGATGATGGATTCAAATGTATCTTATCAAAACAGTGCAAAAGTTTGTCCATCTTTCCATATCTGTATGGCACTTAATTAGATGGGTAGAGTTTGAATGAATTAAGACGATAGAAAATAAATCTTGAAGATGACAGGCTCCTTTTAACACACCAAAACCATAAAGTTATCTACAACTTAAGATGGCGCAGTTAAGGTCGTGGTTTAGAAGAATTTTCACACATGATAAGTTTGTTAAATGATAATATAAATATATTTTATACTATCAATGCAAATTATTAAGCACATTTTTTTATGTTTTTAGCCACTATATTTATCAAAAGTGACAGTTTTAGTCTTTGTTAAAAGGAAAAAGAAAGAAGTATTTCTATCAAAATAGAGATTGAAGGCTTTAAAAACTAAATGTTTTTCTGTTTAAGTTTAAGAGGGAACAATGTGTATCAAAAGAAGATAATCCAAGTCTTCATCACGCTCTTATAGTTTGTTTTGTATCACTCTACATTATTTTATTTCAAAGACAAACTCCTCGTAATTGATCACATCTTGCAGCTCCTGTCGATTAATAAAATTATCTGAATATGTCGGTTCTATTAATTATGAATGAATCTCCAACATTTTTTAACTTCTTAAGCCGTACAAACCCACAATAGCTGGAAATCCAAAAAAAACAAAAAACAAAAAACTTTGGTTAATTATTTGTGTTTCTTCCTTAGAATTGTAACCTTAATTTAATAGGTTCATGTCTGCTTCACGCAAGTGGTTAGTACGTTGTTGTATATATCTTCGTTTCCTACATTTATGGTGCGAATGTGTGTTTTAAATAGAAGGAGAGTGCAGAGGGTGTCACCGACATGCTAGGTACCTAATTTTTGTAGTTTGTGTTCGTTTTCAAATCATAAAAGGCTGCATTTATTCCGCGTCCTCTTTTTGATAGAATAAGTATCACCTCCACAACTAACATTAAATACTCTAATTTAACAATGAGTGGTGATATTTTGACAACCAGAAACCATACAACCCTTCAAATAACTCACTTTTATTAATATAATAATCTATAGAATGATTTAATAAAAATAAAAATAAAGTAAAACTATTATTATAATATTATAATAGAGTTGTTTATAGGAATTGTATGGATTTGGGTTGTCAAAGTATCATTTTCCTTTAACAATTCTCCTAAACCTTTCTCTATTTTAAGATACCCTGGTAGAAGAATAAAAGGTAGAAAAATATTATATTTTTTAAGACTTAAACACTAAATAAGAAAGATTAAGTAAAATAAGATAAAAGTGGAAGGAAATACCTATATATGTTTAGATAATTTTATAAAATAAGTTAAACATGACTAAAACAAAATATTAGACTCATTTTATATAAAAATTATATATAAAAAATATATTCTTTTCTCCAAGAGAAAGAATTCCCCCTTTATTTTCTTACTAATATATTAATTCAAAATAATAATTTATTTCAATATTATATTAACAAAATTAACGATGAAAATTAAAAAAATAAATCTTTAATTCTTACTCTTTAAATAAAGTAAATCTATTTTTAAATTAATTTGTGATATATATATATATATATATATATATATATATATATATATTAATAAAATAATAATATTTTTATTTTAAAGTTATTATTATTATTTTATATAATAAAAACCTATTCATAAACGAATGGATTCACGTGATTTAAACCCATTTCGACTACCAATTAAACTGCTCAAATAAAAATTAATCTGATTGAATTTATTTCATAATTTTGTTATCTTGAGGAGTTAACACCGATCCATCAAAGCTTTTCCATTGTAAGAAAGATAACTATTCTATCACTACTGCTTCTACAACATGAAATAAAAAAATGATGAAATTAACAATCTAATTTTCATTCATAATGATGGAGGGATACAATATGTTTATAACACATACGAAACTTTGTTTTAAATCTACATAAGATACTTCCTCTATTTCTTTCTACTTTTATTTCTCACAAATTTTATAATTTTTTTATTTGTTATATTTCAATTAAATTATGATATTTATAATTAAAGAATGTATATAGTTTTAATTAACAGGAGAGATAAAGAATCAGAAATAGTATATATTTAATAAAATTTAGAATATTGATTATATTCCTTAATACTTATATATTGAAAAAAATTTAAGAAAAAAATAAAGAAAACGTGGTCTATTTATCTATTATTATAAAAAAAAAAGGAGATTAATAGTAACAATATATGAAAGTAAAAAAAGTACATTACATCATTAGTTCTCCATATTTTAAAAACTCACGTGATATATATATATATATATATATATATATATATATATATATATATATATATATATATTGAATTAAATAAAATTACATACTTTTATTTTTTAGAGCAAGACAATTGAAGGAAACTTAACATTGTTTTTATTTTATAGAACAATATAATTGCATATATGTTTATTATTAAGAGATATTTAATTTTATGTTGTTATTTTTCTATTTCAACTTATTTTAATGCAGTAGGAAGTCGAGGTCATCTAACCACCCACTTATTTAACATATAAATCATGGATGTGTTATTGTTATTTATAGCTTTAAAGTCAACACATATTTTTAAATTCAATAAATAATTTCTTTTGCACATTCTTTTATATTAACATTGTGTTTTCAATAATTGGTATTAGAGCTTCTTCATAGAGGTCTAATCCTGGATTTTTAATTAAGTGTGAGAAAAACAATTGTAAGTGTGTGAAAAGAAACTACAGATTTCAAAATGGCAGAAACAACAACAGTTAGTATGTGCAACATGCGATTCCAAAATTTGATGGTCACTATGACTATTCGGCGAAATTAATGGAAAATTTCATTCTGTTCCAAACAATATCAGAATCTGGTAGAACATGGGATCTTCGTAATAGTAGATGGAGCAACACCTTTAGAGGAAAAAGTTAAATTGATGGAATAGAAGTTAAAAATAAAGAGTTATCTTTACCAAGCTATTGATTATGATATTTTAGACATAATACTTAATTATGACACATCAAAAGACATTTGATAGTCAATGAAGCAAAAAATTTAAGGTTTTACAAGGGTAAAAAGAACATAATTGCAAACCTTACATAGAGAATTTGAATTTTTATAAATAATGAAAAAAGAGACAATTAATTTCTATTTTGCGTGTACTTTTAAAATCACTAAAAGTATGGTCTTTAAATTTAATTATGTTGTGCGCTTGATTGAGAAATCAAATAATTTATAGATTATGATAATGGATGAGTTGCAAAGTAGTCTTCTTATTCATAAGTAACTAATGAATTGTCATGAAGAAGAAGAAAATCTGCTACAAATTACTAAGAAAGAGAAAGAGAAAGAGCGAGAGAATAGGGAAGAAATTCCATTAGAGGTGGCCAAGGCAAAGGAAGAGGATGAAAACCCTTCAACGAAACATAATTGAGTGTTTTAAATGTCACAAGCTTGGAAATTTTCCATATGAATGTCCCACCTGACAGAAAAAGGCAAATTATGAGAGGTACAGGATGAAGTAGAGGAAGAAGATGAAATCTTGTTAATGGCCTATGTTGATCTCAAACAAGACAAGGAAGAAGAGGGGTTCCTTGACTTTGGGTGCAACAAGCATATGAGTGAAAATAAGGAGTGGTTTTTAGAGATGGTTGAAAGCTTTAGTAATACCTTAAAGCTTAATAATAATACTAAAATAATTGTGATGGGAAAATGAAACGTTTGATTGTATGTCAATGGAGTTATACATGTAATTTCAAATGTCTATTATATTTCTAATCTTAAGAACAACCTATTAATCATAGGACAACTTCAAGAAGAAGGGCTTGTAATTTTTATTCAGAATGGGAAATGTAAAGTTTATCATCCTAAAAGAGGACGAATTATGAAGATTAAAATGAGTGGAAATAAGATGTTTTCTATGGTTTCTACTATTGTGCCTAAAAAGTTTACATGTTTTCAGATGGAGTTAGCAAATGAGTCTCATATTTAGCGCCACCAATTTGATCATCTAAACTATAATGACTTGAAGATACTCTTCTCCAAAAAGATAGTGAATGAACTACCCTCTATTATGGCTCCAAAGGAACTATGTGCGCATTGCTTAGTAGGAAAGCAACATCGAAACTTTATGCCAAATAAAGGTATGTGGAGAGCATCAAACAAGTTTCAACGTGTGCACATGACCTATGTGGGCCTATCAAAGCTACTTCAATTAGTAACAAGAGATATATCTTAAATTTTATTGATGATTTCTCTTGTAAAACTTGGATTTATTTCTTAAATGAAAAATCAGAAACATTTTCTATGTGTAAAAGTTTCAAAGTCTTTGAAAAAGAAGTTGGTGCATGTATTACTTGCTTGAGAACAAATAAAGGTGGTTAATTCACCTCAAATGAATTTGGAGAATTATGCAAGAGTCAAGGCATAAGGAGACAATTAACTGCAACTTACACTCCTCAATAAAAAAGAGTGACTAAGAGGAAAAACAAAACAATAATGAATATGGTGCGATATATGTTGATTGAGAAACAAGTTTCCAAGATATTTTGGGCAGAAGCTACCACAATGACATATTTTCGAGTCTTTGGATGCATAACTCATGTTCACATACCATATCAATAGAGAATGAAATTAGACAACAAAAGTAAGAAGTGTGTCTTGTTAGGAGTAAGTGATGAATCAAAAGCCTATCACTTGTTTGATCCGATTTCCAAGAAAATTATTATCAGTAGAGCAAAAGAGTTGGAATTGGGAGAAAAATGAAGAAGAATGCAAGCAGTATATTTTAGACTAGGAAGAGGCCCAAAGTGAAATTGATGAGGCAGGAAGAAAAAAATAATGATGTTGATGAATTTGTGGGGATTGGTGCACATTCTGATAATCACATAATAATGTTTATGGGAATCAGATGAAGGGAGGGTTAGTAGAAGTAAAAGAAAACCAATTTGGATGTGTGATTATGAAAGTGGAGAAGGTTTATCAAATAAAGACTTTTTAAATAATGATGATGGTAATTGAGAATGATTCACTTTCATTTGAAGAAGTTGCTAAGAGCAAAAAATGGAGGAATGCAATGATGGAAGAGATGAAGCTAATAAAGAAAAATAAGACTTGGGAGTTGATTGACACACCAAATAAAGTGAAGTCCATTAGAGTTAAGTGGATTTACAAGATCAAACTTAACGAGAATGGGAAAATAGACAAACTCAAAGCAATATTAGTGACTAAAGGATATGCTCAACAATATGGAGTCAATTACACATACCATTTGAATCATACTTATTATGGTAGCTTATTATAGTTAGAAAGTTTTTCAATTAGATGTGAATAATATTTTCCTTCATGATGAACCGACAATATATTATGTATAACAACCTATTGTTTTTGTGAAAAAGGGGAGGAAGACAAAGCTTACAAACTAAGAAAGGCATTGTATGACCTTAAACAAACCCCAAGAGCATGATACAACATGATAGAGAATTATTTTGTTTGTAAAGGCTTTGAAAAATGTTTATGTGAGCATACTTTGTTTACAAAGTCAAGGGAGGGAAGTAAAATTTTAATTATAAGTATTTATGTTGATGACTTGATATATATTCGAAATGATTGAAGCATGTGTGATGAATTTAAAAGATCAACAATGTGAAAGTTTGACATATCAGATTTAGGAAAGATGGGGTATTTTCTTGAAATAGAAGTTGTATAGAGTTCAAATAAAATTTTTATGTCAGAGAAAATACACTCGAGGTGCTAGCAAGGTTTGACATAGAAAATAACAATGCAGTGAAAAATCTCAAAGTCCCAAGTATAAAACTGTCAAGAGATACTATCAATAGATGATGCAATGACAAAAGTTGACTCAACCATGTTTAAACAAGTAGGTGACAACCTTATGTATCTAACTGCAACTCGTTTAGATATTATGTATGAAGTAAGTTTGATTAGTATATTTATATCTTGTCTTATTGAATCTCATTGGCTAGTTGCAAAATGCATATTAAGATACCATCAAACTGAGCATTTTTTACAAACAAGGTGGAAGCACTGAGGTTGTGGCTTATTCTGACAATAACTTTGTTAAAGATTTAGATAATCGTAGAAACACTTCTTGGTTCGTTTTTTGCTTGATTCTACAGTTACATTTTATGTTTATCAATGCATTTGGATTAAAAAAGTATTAAAGAAGCTTGACATTAAGATCAACACAATACTTTAATTATGTATGATAACAACTCAATCATAAAATTATCTAAGAGTTTAGTTTTTCATAAAAAAACATATAAGATTTTATTTTTTGAGAAAATTGGTGAAGCATGACTCAATTATTGTAAATCACAAATTCAAATTGTAGACATTATGATCAAGACTCTTAAATTAGAATAATTCTTAAAATTTTGCAGTACATTATACATAATTGAAACTTTAAAATTAAACTAAATGTCGCAGCATGTATTTTAAGGGAGAGAATGTTGGTTATTAGAAGATATTTAATTTTATGTTGTTATTTTTCTATTTCAGTTTGTTTTAATGCAGTCAAATAAGTTACTTAATTGAAATCCTATTTCCAAGAATATACAAGAAGTTCAGGTAATTTAACGACTCACATATTTTGCATATAAATTGTGCATGTGATTATTCTTAATTACTGTTATATATGGCTTTAAAATTTACATATGTTTTTAAATTTAATAAGGCTTTAAAATTAACATATGTTTTTAAATTTAATAAGTGAATTCTTTAGAGGAATCTGTTTTGTGTTCAACAGTATCAAATTATAAAAAAAATTATTCCTATTTTTATCCTTTTATTTCTTAAAATTTCATATAACATGAAGTATCCATCTAATCTCTTATTTTTTTATAATTTCATATCACATAAAATTTGAATGCAATCTAAGATTTTTACTCACCTTTCTAGTCTAGATTTTACTTTTGTTTCTTCGGATTTTAGATTTGAAATTTAAAAACCATGTAAATTTATTTTTTTATGTCATATCCACGAATTATTCTTCGATTATTCTATCGTAATATAAAAATTAGGTAAAAAATAATTTATATATTATTATTTTAATTTATTAAGATATTTTTTAAAAATAAAATCATAATAAATTAAAATTTTGAAATAATAATAGTCTAATAAATTATTATTTTTTTCTATCATCGAATAAAGTATATTAATTATATTTATTTTAATATATTGTTGCGTCGATTTTATTTCAACACATTTATGATTTAACATAAAACAGTAGAAAGTTAAGGACCATATATAATTTCTGCATACATTCCAGGATTTTGTTTTCATTCATAGTGAAGCTGCTATCATAATGTTTGGTAGCATCACCCTTTCCATTTCTATTAATTAAAATCATATTTAGATTTTTCGTTATTCCTTTAGTTTTTGAAAATGGAAATCAATTTTTTGCTATAAAAAAATCTTTAATTTTTTTAAAACTAAAAGTTAAAATTAATTTAAATCAATTAACCATTTTTTTCTAATGCACAAGTATTCATTTTTTATATATAAAGATGAGAAAAAGTTACTAATTTAATAATGTGGGCGTCTCCAACAATAAACCTTGATCTTAGGCTTTCAGCGGCAGATACTGTGGGCACCAGAAAGAGAAAAAGGTTCGATGATAAAGATAAAATACGAACGGTGGTTTGAATGAATGAATAATAACCTTTGATTTTACCAGAATCCCAGTTGGGGAAAGTTGTTGTTTTTTTGTGTGAGATATTAAAGACGTGTGCGTTGCGTAACAGAGTAAAGTGTGTGTCCCTCAAATCAATAGAAAAAGTGATAACCACAACCTAGAAAAGATTCCTTCGTGAAGTCATATTATCACATGAATTAGTAACGCTGAAACGACCAACTTGTCATATCCTTGTCCTGTCTCCTTGCTTTTTTCTGCACTCACAACCCAAAATAAAATCCTCTCTCTCCTCTGTGTATTATATATGATTGCTTTTGCTTGCTCCTCACAAAGCCAATTACAAGAGCGAGACACGGGCGATTATTGCAAAAAGAAAGAGATAAAAGAAGAAGAAGCAGATTGTGCCCAATTCACTCACATAATTCCTGATCCATTTCAGATTTCAGCTTAAAGTATATAAATTTAAGTTCAAAATATTAACTTTATTGACTGTGGCGAGGATCTGGAGAATGGTAGGTGATTCTCTCCAAAGGGTCTACTTTGTTTTATTTGGATTTTTTTCGGGGGATGGACTTTAAAAAAGGGGTTATTTTGATTTTTGATTGGGGTTACTGACTAGAGATGTTGATGTGTGTGGAATTCAGGTGGTGGCTGCGGGCGCTAAGTTCAATTTGAGAAGAGGCAATGGTTCTTCTCATAATTGTATCAATGGTTACAGCAGTGATGGAGAACTTTCCAGAATTAGTAAGAGTGGCTTTTTTTCATCATCAGTGACAGAGGTGGATAGAGACCCTTCTTGTGTTTCATTCACCACTTTCAACATTCTGGCTCCGATTTACAAACGGATTGATCCACAGGTCTTGCCTTGTCTTGTTTTATTTTTCCTTAATTTTATTATGTTCACTCTATTTATATGGTGTGGAGAGTGGTCTCAGAATGTGTGATTTGGAGGGTTTCACTCTGAAATCTGAATTTTCTGTTTTGTTGTGAACAGAACCAAGGCCCACGAGAAAGTGACTGCAGATCATTCTGGTTGTCCAGAAATGAGAGTATTCTCGATTGCTTGCTTTCTGAATCATCTTCCATCATTTGCCTCCAGGTAGCAATTTCTCTCCTTTCTGGTGGTGGAGAGATATTGTCTCTTGTGAACAAATATTTTTGTTTGCTCGTGAATGGTGTTTTTCCTTACCAGCAGCTCTCACTCACTCTGTAATATGATGTCTGTTTCATTGGTAGGAATTTTGGGTTGGAAATGAAGAGCTTGTTCACATGTATGAGGAGAGACTTGGAGATGCTGGCTACAATCTCTTCAAGCTTGGTCGAACCAACAATCGTGGAGATGGTAAGTACGTGAAAATTCAATTCATCCTCAAACTCATTTAAATATTTGTATTCCCAATTGTTGTATCTATGTGCTTACTAGTGGCTAGTGCTAATGTTCCATGTGGTTGAGGAGGACTGTTTCATTGTTTTTTCTACAAGATCTATGCTTCTCTGAGTAGTTTTGTTGCTCCGTCTCAAAAGCTCATGTTTTTTATGCAGGTCTGCTGACTGCTATACATAAAGAACGTCTAAGAGTTGTGGATTATCGAGAGTTGCTTTTCAACGATTGTGGCGATCGTGTTGCTCAGTTGCTACACGTTCAGTCAGTTGCCCCCTTTCAAAATCAAAAAGGCAGTGTTCCCCAAGAGTTTTTGATTGTGAACACCCACTTGTTATTTCCTCATGATTCAAGTCTTTGTGTTGTGAGATTGAATCAGGTATGTGAGATTCCATGTTAATCTTTTTTCTTATTCACTGATGATAGTGTAGCCAACTTGCTTTCAATCCTCTACACTTATCATTTGTAGGTGTACCAAATATTGAAATATGTAGAATTGTATCAGAGAGAAAACAGGCTCAAACCCATGCCTATTATACTCTGTGGGTGAGTTTCTTGATTGATTTTCCTATAATGTTTATCTAGTATTTTAACTGGAACAGATGTCCTTATAATGTGAACTTCATGTTCTGTCTAATGCAGCGACTGGAATGGCAGCAAGCGTGGGCATGTTTACAAGTTCCTTAGGTCACAGGGGTTTGTATCCTCATATGATATTGCTAATCAATACAGTGACAGTTATGCAGATGCTCACAAGGTAAATATCTCATTATTAGATTGAATTGTGCACCTGCTTTTCTGATATTAAAATCATGGTCTTTGTAGATTTTTTTTTTGCTTGAATTTTTATAATTTCTCTTCGATCCTGCAGTGGGTTAGTCACCGAAATCATAGAGGTAATATCTGTGGAGTTGACTTCATTTGGCTTTGCAATCCCAATCAAGCACGTAAACCTTTGAAGACCAGTTGGGCTGAAGCTGTATTTAGTATACTAAAAGTGAGTATGACTCACCAAATTTAATATATTTTTTGTTGTCTTCGTATTTCTGACTTTTTACTTTTAAGAGATAAAATATGCAAGTCAACTCTTCAAGGCATTTGAAACATTTGTAGTAGGTTTAACAAATGGTGGTTTTCATCTAAAACAATACATAATATACTTGATTTTTTATGGGCCTTTATATTCATAAAACTCCATTTTTGCTGTGACGAAGTAGTAAGGATATAAGCATGACCATTTTTGCTTTGCAGCTAATGCTATTCTTTTCTTTTGCAGTTCCAGTTGCGAAAAGCATCATTATCTGAAGATGATGCATTTGCCTTTCTAAAGGGTGACAACTATGCTGATTCTGTGACATATTTTAGTTTCTCCGAAGCTCTTCGTCAGGTACTTTCATATCTACTAATATATGATGTTATAAACTCCACCAGCAAGAGGAAAAAACAAATGAAAAAAAAGAGAAATAGACTTACACCATGCCATAACTTCTGCAGGTAAAGTTAATTGGTGTGCCTTATGGACTATGCTTTCAACAATTACAAGATCTATGGAATCAAGCAGATATTGATGGAAATGGTGTCATCGACTTTGAAGAATTCAAGGTATATTATAAGCCTTCAGTTTCGGATGATATTTAGGAAAATCCATGCACTTGCATGTGCCTAATGCAGTCTACATGAATGTTAAAGTAGTAATAATGTTTCAATAGGTCCCCATATATATTGTTCGAGGAATAAAATAGTAATAATTTACTTTGCATTGCAGCAGAAGATTTGGAATTCTGCATGTCCAGAGCATGTGCTGGAAAATTTGAATGGGTGCATGGAAGATGGTAACGCAGAATTGGAGCAGCAAGAAGCTATTGGATTTCATATAAAGAATGCAATGCTGTATCCGCGTGAAGTGGAGAAAGGACTATGGCCAGAAGATTATTCCCTCTCTGATCATGCTAGACTCACAGCTGTGTTTTCACCAGCTAGGATGAGATGTTCTGGCACACAAAACTGAACCTACCTACCTACCTAGCTGGCTCCTAAATGGCATTGGCAGTATATAGGCCTATTAGAATTGACCAAAAGAAAAATTGTGAAATATGTTATAGCCCACAGAAATATTTTCAATTTTGGGACAAGTTTGGTATAGTGGTAAACAACAGTGATGATTTTTCACTCAGTTTTAATCCTTGCCAAACATGTCATACCATTAGTGATTAGTCTGTCCTGTATTTGAGCATATGGAGTCAAATTAGTGTCTGATGTAACCAGTTTTGTTAAGCCCTGGCCATGTTTTTTTTTCTGGTAATGGGATAGCAATGTAAAGATATTTTTGCAACGTAGAAATGGCTGTGCATGTTATCTATTTCCTTTTCCCACTTTGGATCCAATGATTTGACAAAAATGCCTATGACTCATATCACATTTTTCTATGGAATTATCCCTGTGGTTACTCTTTTGCACTCTTACTAATTTTTCTGATCACATCATTTTAAAATTCTGGAATTATGGTGGACTCAAGGAGAACCCTTGCACTTATGGCTTGAGATTTCATTAATGGGCTTTCTATAAACCTAAAATATGGATTGGATTGGGTGAATGTTTGGCTGTTGCTACTACTACCAACATAAAAAAGAAAGACTGCACTTAGAACAAAAATCCAAGTCTGATTTTTTGTTTGATGCTGCATCTTGGTGGATTTGGAGGTGGAGAAATAATAGAAATTTTGAGGAAAACATTTAGGATATTCAATATATCATGAACAATATCTACATGCTTCATGGTAATACAATGAACTCATTGCATGATGAAGGCACTATGGCAACTGTCCCATTTTGCATCCCTAGATGGATTTCTCCAGCAATGTACACATTGAATCCTGTATATTGCAAAACAATTCAATAAAAATTAAAAACATATGAATTTTTGTAACAGTAAATTACTGGAATATTTTTCAAAATGTTAAGATGATAAAGAAAATAAAATTATTCTTTATAGTTTTCTCAGTAAAATATATAAAAATCAAACTCAAGTATTAAGCCTAGTTTTCTGTATGCCATAGTAAAGATACAAAACGCATTTTATATAGTTTTATCTTTTTACTCTTACTTTTTCCACAACTGAATAAAATATATTTTTTCTTCAGGAGAGAAAATACAGGATCAAATTCGGACTCGATTATGTTTCTTTTTTTCAGTTTTCAGAAGTATTTACCAGAAACCCATCATATAATAAATTTATTAATGAAATTAAGAATTAAATATATTTTTAGTTTCACTAATCTGAAATAGATTTGTATTTAGTCCCCAAATTTAAGCAATTTTCTTTAACATTTATTTTTAAAGTATTGTTAAAGATATTATTTACACATCTAATTGAATACAAGTAATGTATGAAATAATATATTTTAATTTTACTTTCTTTTCATCAATTATTTTATATTTTTATTGTTTTGAGTGTTTATTTTTGACAATATGTAAGACATGTAAGAAAGAATCTTTTTTTTTTTTTTTAAATCTTATGGAAAAAATAATTCTAAATTTGAAAGATAAAAAACAAACTTATCTTATACTGTATTTGTAGAATTAAAGATACATTTAAGATAAATTTCAATTCAAAGGAACTTTCTTATTATTCTAACCTCTTCATTTCTCTTATAAATTTTTTGGAGTCTTTGGAGAATGAAAAGGATTTTGAGATGTTGCACCAATTTTCAGGGTCCAAAAAGTAATGAATAATGAAGTGAGTGAATTACCTAACATATTGCTATGTTCTCAATATTGGAAATTGTTATGACTCTACAACCTTAAAAAAAACCCTATATCCATGTTTGTAATCATGAGACAATAAAGTTCAACACAACGAGTTTTGTCTCAGAGGGATCATGAACAAATAGGAGTAGTGGGGGCCATCATAAATCAACACAAGAAGCATAGAATTTGACTAGAATACCTAGTTTTCTATGGACTTTTTTAAAATAATAATATTAAATAAAATTAGGATTTAAAATTTAATTATCTCATAAATATATTAAATCTGACAATTTTTTTTTCTATCTTAGTTTAGCAGAAATATATATTAGATGACAGTTTTACTAAATTGTCTTGTTTTTTTATGTTAACTTCAAAATATACATTAACATTAAATCTTTCAAAACTACAAAGTAATATCTACCAGTGTTAATGGACAAAAATATTGGTCTAATAATGTATATACATACTAAGATTTGAATTTTTATTTAAAAAAATATTATAAAAAATAACATTATTAAAATTCTTATTTACGACGGGGTTGGGGTTTGATTGGTTTAGCTTAAAAAAACTATCTGAAATAAATAAAATTCAATATAGTTCTATTTTAATTAATATAAAATCTGTATTATACTAAATATTTTTGTAATTGTTAATTAATTTTTAATATATAATATTATGTTTAAATTATATTTATCAAAATATTTAGGCTTGATTTGTTTGAGACTCAGAAAGAAGGTTACAAATTTTTTTGAAAATAAGAATAAACGAGGAGAAGTCACGCAAAGTGTTATATAATAATTACATTGCAAATTAATTTATTAATATTTATGTTTATTTTTATTACAATAATAAATACATTAAAAGTATAATATTAACATAATAAATAATTTTTATCTTTTTTTTAATTCACCTAATTTAAATAATTTTATTTTTTACATTCTCAATTTTCATCCTCCGACAAAAAAAAGGAGTGATGGAGACTCATGAGTCCATTTCTTAGAAAATGGCCCCTCAATTGTATAAGAAAGAACATTTTTCTTCTTACGCGGTTATGTTTATTATTATTATTATTATTATTATTATTATTATTATTATTATTATTATTATTATTATTATTATTATTATTATTATTATTATTATTAATAATGCAGACACTTTATCTAAAACATATGATTCTAGACCTTGGAATTATGTATGAAGCAAGAAGACATCTTCAATGGCTTAGAAAGAAAAAGGTCATAAAGCAAGTCAAGTTTTTTAACTGAAGTAAGAAATAAAAATAAAACCAATAAAACCTTATGAATATCAGAAAGTTATTTAAGTTTATTGGTAATTATAGACATACGTTCCACTTTTTTTTATTTATTTTTTTTTATATTTTTTTACTGTATTACTTGTTACTTTAAGTTCTTTGATTGATTAACTGTGTAAATATTTTTTATTTTTTTACTTATTTTAAGTAATGTTATACATAAAATTTATGTTAAAATAATATTTTTTTATTCATAAAAAGTTTTTTAAATAATTTTTATTAGAGATGAAACATGAAAGACTAAAATAATTTTTATAAACAATGTCATTTCATAAAGTCATTAATAATGTTTTAGTAAAAATACATGAAATCCTATGATATTCTTCTCAAGTACGAATCTCAACTTTATCTTTTCCTTTCTCTGAGCAAACAAATTTTGATTTTGATTTTGTACACACGCCGAAGAGAATCTTATGATGTCTGAATTGAACTTTGAATGACATGTTGTTCTTTCTGAGGTTATTTAAATAGCAGATGAATAAGTAATATATTAATGATGAATTTAGTCTTCTATTAGAAAAATTTAAAGAAAACCTTACTTATGAAGTAGGCCAAAAGGACGGAGACTTGGATCAACTTCAAAGTCAATGTCTTTTTCCACTACAAATACAGATTGTTTGAAATCTGAATGAAACCCAAGACACAAAAACACAATTAACTTCGATACACACTTCTTTCCTTCCTTTACTCTCTTTGCTTCGCACCCTTTTCATCATCTTCTCCTTTCCCTTTCTTTCTTTTCTCCCTCACTCGCAAACAACAACAACAGTTAACTGTTTGTTGAACCAAAACAATGGAGAACATAATTTCCACACTTGATCACGTGCCTGTGGGATTCAGGTTTCGTCCCACAGATGAGGAGCTTGTCAGCTATTACCTCAAACACAAGCTGCTTGGAGATGATTTCCCTGTCCATGTCATTCCAGAGATCGACCTTTGCAGAGTGGAACCTTGGGACGTACCAGGTAATGCAAACACTAAACACTAAACACTATACACTGAACACCCCTTTCATCACCAGATGCTGCTATCAAACCCACTTCACTGTTGTTTGATTCTTTTATTGCTTCAATTTGTGATGCCAGCAAAATCAGTGATCAAATCCGATGACCCGGAGTGGTTTTTCTTCAGTTCTGTGGATTACAAGTATTCCAAAAGTACAAGGGTCAACAGGACTACCAAGCATGGCTTCTGGAAATCCACTGGAAATGACCGTAACATTAGGACTAGAGGCACCAACAATGTCATTGGGACAAAGAAGACTCTCGTTTTCCACGAAGGTCGTGTTCCCCGTGGTGCCAAGACCAATTGGGTTATTCATGAATATCGTGCCCTTACCTCCCATGAAAGCCAGGTTGGTTTGTTTTGCCAAGAAATCTTAACATTGTGTGGAAATTGTCTTTCTAAAACTTGTTAGCCTAATTGCATGGTGTGATTAATGTAGCCGAATTCACCGGGTAGGATAAGGATTTATTGTTGTTGTTGATGATGTTGGGAATTGTTTTTCTACTAGATGTGTTTTGCACAACAGTATGTACTCTTTAGGCTTTGATATTATTTCCTATGCTATTGATTGTTCTTAAGGTTATTGGACCCTTTGTTTGAATCATGTTTTTTATTTTGTCATTCTCAGTTCATGACCCAATTTTCACCATTTGGCCTTGGTTGATGATGATGACAAATGGGGCATTTGGAGAATTTATTACAATGAGCTTTATGTGGAAGCTTATCAAAATTAAGATCTTTTTATGAGATCTCAGATAAAGCTTATGGATAAGATGCCATCATATATTTTTAGATTAGTGTTTAATTAAATATATAATGTAAACATGCTCAGAATTAATTAAATGTCAACTTTTTGCCTTAAAAACTCTATTTGAGAAAATGAATTTGTTTTGCCGCACGCTCCGCCAAGCCTTCTTTTAGGTTTTGCTGTGAATAGCCCTGTTGAGGAAATAAGTTTCTGATTTTGAAGTTTAGCCTTCTTTTTTTGTTGGCTTTTATTTGTGAGTTGTATCAACTAAATGCTGATTATCCTCCAAGTTTTTGCAGAATACTTTGGTTTTATGCCGCTTGATGAAGAAAGCTGACAAAAGAAAAGAAGGGGGAATTGAGGCACCAAATTTTCTTGATGTAAATAGCTGAAGAAATTCCATCTATAAGCTGAAGCATCCTTGATGGACATATTTGCACTCTGCACATGAAACATGCTGAGAACTAATACTTGTTTTGTGAATTTTCCAGGAAATTAGCTTACCTGAATTTACATTGGAAGAAATCTTGAAGGCAGCGGAACTCTTCCCCCCAGTAGAACAGTATGATGATGATGATGAGTTCGTAAATTCAATTTTTGTTGATAATGAAGAGGTTATTATCAATGAAGAAAGAAGACACTGTTTTGTCAATAGTTCCACCCAACCAAAGTCATTGAGAAGGGTATACAATGCAAGCAGTGACACAGATGCTGAAGTTGTCTCTAATCTGGTAAAGGTAAATTGTCCAAAGTCCAAATGATACTGAGGAGTGTATCTCTTTTTGTTTATGAACTATTAGTTAGTTCTAAAGGTTAACACCTTGTGAAATGTTTAGAGCCTGATTATGTAAGGGTGCTGTAGCAGACAGAAGTGGAATAACAGGAAGAGGAAAAAAATTTTAGAGAGGAAGGAATACTCTACTATTTTTTCTCCCCTTTCTATTACATCACTGTGCTATATATGCACTTTGGCAACCGTCTTGCAGTAATCATAAGCAATTAATAGAAAGAAATACATGGAATATTTCCAATCATTCCTTCCTAACAGATTTCCCCTTTTTATGGGTAATGGGACTAGTGACCACATAATCCTTGAGATAATGTGGTTGGCATGAGATTCTCTTTGTGTCCTCCTTGTAGTCTTTCTGTGAGATAGGCAGGGAAATAGAGTCCTCGCTTGGGCTTGTGGAAGAAATAATGGAAATGGGCCTACTAGTCCTTACATCTCCCGGTTCGAGAAGCACCTTGTCCTCAAGGTGGAATTGTTGTTGAATCTGCAGTCAAGATTCCCAACTTGCTTCCTCCAATGGCATATCTTTCCATTGTATCAAGACCTGAATTTGTGGAGTAGGAGCGGAGTTATCCTATTTCCAGTTTACAATTGCAACCGGTTCCAAGATTGGTTGATTATCCTCCATCTCTGGTGGTAAAGAAAGGGGGACAGAAGGTAAGGGACCCTTGAGGGGACGAAGGAGACTAACATGAAACACGTTGTGGATTTTGGTCGAGGGTGGAAGGTCCACTTTGTAGGCAACCCCGCCAATCTTCTTTGTGATCTTGAAAGGGCCAAAGAAACGCTTCATGAGTTTCCTTGAAGAGGGTTTGGTTACCGAAGATTGTCTGCAGGGACGGAGATAGATATAAACCCAGTCATCTACAACAAACTGTAAATCCCTGCAATGCTTGTCAGCCCAGTTTTTCATGGCTTCTTGTGCCTTATGTAAGTTAGAAGCCAGTTTCTGAAGGATAGTAGCGTGGGTAGAGAGTTCGGATTGAACTGCAGCGTTCAAAGTGTTCGTGGGAGGTAAGAGAGGCATGATAGGAGGCTTGCGGCCGAACATCACCTCAAATGGAGTGAACCCAGTGGAAGCGTTTACTGATGTATTAAAACTCCATTTTGCCCAAGAGAGGAATTTGCCCAAAATAGATGACTTGTGATGAACAAAGCAACGAAGGTACTGCTGTAACACCTTATTGGTTACCTTTGTTTGTCCATCCGTTTGTGGATGGTATGCAGTGGACAAATGAAGTTTGGTGCCACTAAGTCTGAAAAGGTCACGCCAGAATTGACTCAGAAAAATGGGGTCACGATCTGATATAAGACTGCGAGGTAACCCGTGATGTTTGTAGACTATGTCAACAAATAATTGAGCTACGTTGGTGGCTGGGAAGGATTTGGGAAGCATCCCAAAATGAGCACCCTTTGAGAATATGTCGACGACTATAAGAATCGTAGTGAAACCTTTGTAAGGAGGTAAACCTATGATAAAGTCGAGGGACAAATCCTTCCAACAATGTGATGGAGGGGGTATTGAATTGTTTGACATCCTTGCGGATGGTGCTCCAATAAAAATTGGCCTTGATTTTGCTCAATGTATGCGATATGCCTGTGTGACCTACTATAGGGGTGTTGTGGAATTCATGGAGCAAGAGTGGAATGAAAGAGCAAGTGGAGGGTAGTCAAAGCTTATCTTTATAGAGGATAAGGTCATCCTTTATAGAGAATTGGGGAAAGTCGGTTGGAGCATCTATAATTTTGTCCCTAAAAGCTATAAATTCTGGGTCCTGGTGCAAAGAGGACTTGAGATTAGCCAAAAAATCCAATTGTGAAATGGATAAGAGGAGCGAAGATGTCACAGTGGAATTAGAGTTCTCGATGCGTGAGAGTGCAGCAACTGTAACATTGTTTTTGCCAGGTCTATACTGAATTTCAAAATCGAAACCTAATAGCTTGAAGAGGTAAACCTGCTGATTAGGGGTAAGGACTATCTGAGATAATAGCTCTTTAATTGACCGCTGATCAGTTTGTATGATAAAGTGACAACCCAAGAGATATTGTCGCCATTTCTGTACAACAGAAGTAATGGCATACAGTTTCTGAATGTTTGTAGATAAATTGTGAAGCTTGGGACAAAATTGTTTGCTAAAATAAGCAATTGGGTGACCATGCTGCGACAAGACTGCCCCCATGCCAATTCCTGAGGCATCAGTTTGTGTACTATGAACACTGAGTCAAATTTTGGAATAGCCAAAACAGGTGTTATTAATAGTATATTTTTCATTGGTGAAGGCTACTTGGGCCTTGTCATTCCATAGGAAGTTGTCCTTCTTGAGGAGATTAGTAAGAGGATGAGCAATAGATATGTAACCTAAAACGAAGTGACGATAGATCCCTACAAGACCAAGGAATCCTCGGAGAGATTTAGGAGAAGTTGGAACTGGCCAATTGCAAACCGCATCAAGCTTCTCAGGATCAGGTTGAACGCCATTATTAGAGATCATGTGACCTAAGTATTGAATAGATTGAGTCTCAATAGTGCATTTGCTACCCTTTAAATGGAAACAATTAGAAAGAAGCAACTTGAAGGTGGTTTCAGGGTGGAGAGTATGCTCAGCCAATATAGGGCTATAGACTAGAATATCATAAAAAAAAACAATAATAATATGGCGTAAGTGGGGACGGAATAATTCATTCATAGTCGCTTGGAACATAGAGGGTGCATTACACAAACCAAAATGACATCACCCGAAACTCGAAGTGGCCGTTGTGAGTCCGGAATGCAGTTTTCACTGAATCATCAGGATTTGATGAAATCCAGAGAAGAGATTGAGTTTTGAAAACCACGAAGTATGACCCAGCTCGTCCAGTAGTTCATCAACAGTGGGGATTGGAAATTTGTCCTTGATGGTGGCAGCTTTGAGGGCCCGGTAATCCACGCAGAACCGCCACGTCCCATCCTTTTTTTTTTTTTTACAAGAACCACCAAAGATAAATAAGGGTTGTTGCTAGGTGTGATGAAACCTGAGTCAACATCTTTTGGACTTGTGTTTCGATTTCTTGTTTTTGGAAATGTGGGTATCAATATGGACGTCCTGTAATTGGAGGTGTGTTTGGGGTTAAAGTAATGGAGTGGTCTGTGGGTCGTAGGGGTGGAAGGGTGGCAAGGGCTAAGAAGAGAGATGAGTAGTGTGAGATGAGGAACTGTATTTGAGGTTTAGCGGAAGAAGGAAAAGTGGGATTCGATTGGGATGTGTTTGTGGTAGGTGGGGGAAGAGGGTTGGAATCAAGTGTAAGTTGGAAGAAAGCTTCGACCCTGTTGGTGTTGTGCAGGCGCCTTAGCTGATGGGCTGAAATAGGAGAGGGGTTTGGGCCTAGATCCCCCTTAAGTTCAACTAATTGTTCATACCAAGAGAATCTCATGTATGTACCATTGTAATCCATGACATAAGGGCTAACCATTGAAAGCCAATGAACTCCCAAAACTACATCCGTTTCCGATAAGTCTAATGGATACAAATCAACAGAAAAATCTTGTTTATCCAAGGTGAGATTAACATTAGGACAAAAGGAAGAACAATGTAAAAATTCACCGTTACCTACCATTACACGTAATGGGCTTGGTGTGGGCTGGGTAGATAGGTGAAGAAATTGGGTCACTCTATGTTGGATGAAATTATGGGTTGCCCCACTATCAACCAAGATTTGGACCGCATAGCCCTTGATTAACCTTGTAACCCGAAAGGTTCGTGGGGTCCATTTACTAGAGAAGGCGTGGAGACTAATGAGCCCTGCATCTTGTTGTGCTTCCTCAGTTGGCTGGATGTCCTCCGATGATATGTCGTCGTCAAGATCCTCTGAATAAAAAATAGTGAGAAGTAAGAACTGTGGCTTACAACGGTACCCTCTTGTATAATGTTCATCACAATTAAAACAAAGATTCTTCTCTCTTCGTGCCTGCATTTCTGCTTCTGAGAGGCGTTTAATTGGGAGTTTGATTGAGTGTGTCGGGAGAAGCAGAGGGAGAGGTTTAGGGGAGGTGGTTGTACTAGTTGTAATAGGTGAAAAGGGAGGGATTGTGCGGCCGAACCGGTGGTGGTGAGGGGCAAAATTTTTCATCATGAAGCTTAGCTAATGCAATGGAATGAGGTAGGTCTTGTTAGATAATCTTAAATTACGAGGGTGGTTTCTTTAATTTAGTATGAATCTGTAGTTATTTGGTTAGTTTGTTTTGATGGGTTGCTGAGATATCGCAGTAAAATTTTGTTTGCCGGTTAGATATTTGTTAAGAGGTTATTTTCTTGTTAATCTGGTACATTGTACATGGTTATTTAAAGTCATCTCAGTCAAATAAAAACATACAGTGAGTTGCTACGTTCACACAATATATTAGTGTTTTTCGTCTTTTAGCTCCTACAAAGTGGTATCAGAGCTTTATGCTCTGAGTACTGAGTGTGAGAGGAAAAACAGAGTGCGCCTGTGTGCGTTTAAAAAAAAAGAGAGAGTAATGGCGAAGGTTGTTAATGGAATGATCGTACCACAACTGTCAAAGAAAACCAATTATGATAATTGGTGTTTACAGATGAAGACTCTGTTGGGTTCCCAAAGTCTATGGGACATAGTAGAGAAGGGGTTCCGAGAACCCAAGGAGGATGAAGACCAATCTGTGGCTCAGATTGCCAAATTGGAAAAGACACGAGTGAAGGATAAATCAGCTTTGTATTTTTTGTACAATGCTGTGGATGAATCGGGTTTCGAGAAGATTGCAAACGCTGCGTCTTCAAAGGAAGCATGGGAGATTTTGGAGGTTGCGCACAGAGGTAACCACCGTGTCAGACAGATCCGACTTCAAACTCTCCGAGGAGAGTTTGAATGTTTGAAGATGGAAGATAAGGAGCAAGTATCCGAGTATATAACTCGGGTGGAGAAGGTGGCTAACCAACTCGGAAGGAATGGGGAACCAATGCCAGCAAATAGGATTGT